ACAAGGTATAGGCAGAGGCACAAACTGCTAAGGGCGCATGGAAAGGAATTGTACACAAAAATTTAAAAAATATTTTTGCAAAAACATTTTTTTTTGTAAAATCCTCATAGTTTCTGAGAAAAAAATTATTGAAGCTGTAGTATTTTCAACCTTCAACATCGCTGGACTATTGTAGTCTCTAGCGTCATTCGCGTTGTAGGCTGTGCGCAATACGTTCTCTCTCCACGAGGCCCCGGACGATTCCTAATACTGAAATGCGATAGTGTTTACATTAGTTCTTTAAGTACCAACAATGGTTTACGTGTATAGCAACTCGGGAATTGATGGATATCGTTTTAATTTAAAGTGAAGCAAGACGGGCCCAAATGTGTTTACACGTCAGTAGACAAAATTTTGAAGAGTTGTAATTACTTTATTAACTAAAACCACAAATTAATTGTATTAACTAATAATAACAATAGAGGTAAAAGCAGTTGAATTTGTTGACGTAAAATAGATGTTATAAAATTTTATTTATTTCTTTCCTTCAGAAAGAAATTCTTTTGTTCGTTCATTTTTTATTACACTTTGCCGCCGTGCCGGTCGCCGACTGCATGTTTTGCCTTGCGTAAGGTAAGGTTTTATAGTGGACCAGTTTCCAGTGCCCTGTAGAAGTGGATTTTTAAAATCATTTTCGAACTGTCCTTTCTGATTTTTTTTACAAAGGAGTCCCCCGTACGTTCAACAATTTTTTCCCTTATTATGTTTTTAATTCTGGCTTATTAGTAGGTTTACTTTTGATTTTTTTTACAAATAATTAGGTACTTATGTACTTAATATTTTTTTATTTCTACAGTTGTCTTTGTGTGTGTTTATTTATACAGGGTGTTTCAGAAAGACCTACCGTAAATTCAGGGGGTGATAGTACAACAAAAAATAAGAAGGAAATTTTCGTAAAAATTTTATTTAGAAAATTTTATTTTGTCGCTCTGTATCTCGAAAACAAGAGGAGATAGACATATAGTTCATAAGACAAAAAATTCGTATTTTTTGTCGTACTATCACCCCCTGAATTTACGGGAGGTCTTTCTAAACCACCCTGTATATTATAATATACAGGGTGGTTCATAATGGTGTGTGATTATTTTAAGGAGGTGTTCAGAAAGTAATTTTATGGGGGGGTACTTCCTATATATTTTTTTGAGTTGAGCCCCCCCCCTGAGAAAATATTCAAATCTCAAAATAGCCAAAAAATTTAGCTTTTATTTTTTTTTCAAAAACTTATAGATATTTGAATTTTGGTACACGTTAACAACTAGTTGAATGGTATTATTTGGTAATCTTATTTTTCTGGTTTATGTCTTTGATTGAAAGAAATTAGCACTCCTTGGATTTATCACAACTTTTTCTATACGTTAGCCAATTCCAACAAGAAAAATAGCTTTTAATACTACGTTTCATTTAGAAACTTTTTTACTCTCCCCATTTTTGCGTATACTTATGGTTTACGAGCAAAAAATAAATTATTTTTAATTAGTATAACAGTTACCAAAAACGATCGTCATTTTTGACATGATTTTTGCAAAAATTATTTTTTTATCAATAGAAAAAGCTATGCAAATATGAACTAAAAATTTAATTAAAAAAATGAAAGCTATTTTTTTCGGCCATTTTGAGATTTGAATAGTTTCTCAGGGGGGGCTCAAATCGAAAAAATGTATTGGAAGTACCTCCCCTAAAATTACCTTTTAAACACCTTAAAATATTTGCACATCAATATGAAACACCCTCTATATTAAGTGAAACCAATTTATCATGTTTTATTGTTGTTTTTATTACATTTTTAAAAATAAAACGTTTGTTTTTGAGTTTTTGCTTATTTTTAACAATTAAGTAGGGGCGCAAAATTAAAAGCTTGCCTCTAGTAAAATTTCTTCTAGTTACGGCACTGACACCTGCGGCTTTACACCTTTATTATTTAGATCAGTTAACTTTAGTTCTATTACTTATACAGTCGTATTAAGAGTTGTCCTCAGTATCCATCCTGATGTGGATAATTGTACAAAACAAATTAAGTACAATAAACATATTTTCTTGAAAAACTGAAACACGGCGTCAAAATTCTTTATTTATTAGCACTTGGATACAAAATGTTAGTGATAAGTAAATATATAAGAAATTGTAATCATCTTTAACATGTACATTGTACACAAGCAATAAAATTTACCTTACATAAGTTTTTGGAATATCGTTATAAATTCCTTAATATCCCGAATACCTAAAAGACCTAGCCAATATCAGATACCTACATGGAACAATTTCGTAAACACACATGATTTCATTTCTTGTAAACTAATACAACTGTATGTAACTATTAATTTCATGGTACTTGCAATATATGTCTCTTTCTGCCATTTTTTGGCCTCTTTGTGGATCTCATGCATCAGGCAGTTAATATCATTAGCCACTAGATGTAGCTTTCTGTTACATTTTTTTTATGTAAGAAAATAGTAGTCCCAAAACGATGAAAGTTATTGTAATTTTGTCAGACCATCAAAGTATCCTAAAAAATCTTCTCGTTGTGGACATTTCTGATGCATTTAATCTTATACCTACCATTCATCGAACTTTTTGTCTTTTCGTACCTTTTTTTTGAAGAAGTTAATCAACATGTTTCGCGGTTAGTTCAGTATCTTGTGGAACACTATCTGAGTCTGAAACAATAATTTTTAGCAATAACGTAACACTGCATTCCTGCTACATTTTCTTAATGTCGCCAGGGAAATTTGACAAATGTCATATGGTTTATTTATAATAAGAGCAAAAAGCACTACACTTTGTTCAATATATGAAGCGTGAATTTTACAATAAATATTATTGCATTAATTAAATTAAAAGTTATATTTAGCGGTGAAGGTAGAATATTGAACGATACACATTTCATATAGCTCAACGAAATTCTTTTTATTACACAATCCAACTCGCTTCTTTAAACATTCTACCCTGTAGAATGTATTGATTATTCTTAATGTTATTCTTAATTTACCAGCTTATTGACAGAAAGTGTCAATTTATTAATATGATAATTAACAATTTATTTGTTATGACATCCGCCTACTTTATTTTTACAAATTTTCGCAATTACTCCTTTAGTGAAAGATGACGCATCTATTTTTTTTTTCTAGAAAACTATCGGTTTTGTCGACAAACAAGAGGTAAAAAAGTTGCGCAGTAAATCAGTCTTCCCAATAAATATTTTTAAATATTTGCTTCATATAAAAAATTTCTAATAAAATATTGCAATGGGGTTGACTGTTTCACTCCTTTGTAAAATACGTCAATGATCGAACAAATATTGAAAAGTTATCTCCATATTAGTAGGATGCTCATACGAAGTTTCGTGTCTCTAGCATTCCTTATGTTAAAGAAAAAAAATAAAATGTGAATTTCAATCCCCACCTTTAAGAGGGTATATCGCCTCAGGGGTGCACCATTCATATAAAGTATTTTTACTTCAATACTCTTATTTTTGACTCTACGTTCACTGGTAGCATTTTTGCTACTTCATTTAAAAACACCCTGTATAATCAAACTTGTACCGTTTACTAGGACATCTTTTAATTAGAAAACCGAACCAAATGCTTTTATTGGGTTCGTACAGTACAATATATCCCTATATTTTTATGAAGTTTAAAATATGCATAGGTATCAGGTATCAGTATCAGTAGGTATGCGAGTAGGGGCTGGTGAAAATTAAAGGGGTCATATTTCGATATGGGACCCAAACCATTTTTTTAGGGAAGATTTTTATGCTCACAACGAGAAACTTTCATGGCGAAAAAATATCTAAATTCGCAAAATAAATTAAAATAGAGATTGCTGACTCTGAGATCTCGAAAAGAGCACGTATTTGCGCAAAATATTTTTCGTTTATAATCTATGTATGTGGCGCCGACTAGGCCTTAAATAAGCACTAGTAGTCAAACTGAGAATTTGATTTTGGCTAAATAATTTGCTGGCTAAGGTAATTGTAGCGCCATCTATTCTTGACCCTCTTAATTCCTATCACGTATTTAACTACATGTATTCAAGTATTCATTGTGTTGTTGAACTGAAAATAAACTAAAGAAGAAAATATATAGCGTTAATAATATCAATCGTGTCTATTTGAGCAAAAAATCTAGCCCTGAAATATTCTCTTGGTACTTTTATTACTTGGTACTCCATTAATATTAGATGATTAATTCTCCAATAAAAACGATCATCATGCACCATATAGTTTAATATGAATGAAACTGTTTTGGTTTACTGGAATTGAGGGTCCCAATAACTAAAATCTAAAATCTAATTTTTAATTTATGGTTGGTTTATAAAAAAGTATTAGTCCTAACTTAGCCGTAACTTAACCTTTATCTTAGTCCTAAAAAGTTAAATGTACAGAATGTAATGTATCGGTTTATAAAAATCCCTAGTCGTAAGGAGGTCTTAAGACATGACCTTGAAAGTTCGCATCTTTTAATTAAGACTAAGATCTGAGAAGTGCGCATGCACAAGTATTGCATTTCGTAGCATAGTGGGCTCTTGTCTTTGTCTATGGTGGTCGCCAATACGCCATTACCATAGTAATAGGTTATATTTTTCTTTTCATTCACCAACAAAACAAATAAAATAACATTACCACAGAATAATAAACAAGTATTATGCTGTGATATTACTAGCCATGCGCGTAGTCGAATCGCTCATTGGTTAATCTTAATAAAATTAGGACCACACATTGTTTTTATAAACGTGTACCTATTCTTAGGACTAATACTAAGATTAGTGTAAAGATTAATACTAAGACTAAGACTAAGTTAGGACTAATACTTTTTTATAAACCAACCATTACTTCAGTGCGTTTCCAGATAAATTCCTTATGACGTTGAAGACCCATTTTTAGATTATTTGTTTATCATAGATTGGTACCGAATAAATGTGATGGCAACATTGGCAACACTGGTTGTATTGTTGGAAATGATTTTTTGACAGTGACATATAATAATAGAATGTGATTGAAACTACTGTTTATTATTTTTTTCAAAACGATTGACTATTAAAAAGGTATTGCTGATAAAATAAAATTTTAGTAATATTAGTTATAATCTAGTTTTGAATTCAATGTACCAATCTTAACTGATATAAAAAAATCATTTGTCATTTTGCATCATTTGATTGGCAAGAACCCAGAATACCATTATCGGAAGTTGAGAGAAAAAGTACGCATTTACTAAGTACAAGATAAAACATCGATTTCAGAACTGTTTATCAAGAAATTTAAAAAAAATTGTGATTTAGAATAAGGAAGAAATCTACTCAAGACTTAACCTTGACTGACAGCTAAATAAAAAAGGCAAGTAATTGCGTGTTCTTTGTGTTAATAATAACTTGTTATCTAGTTCAATTTTGCATTGGAACATTAAAAAGATCTACAAAATTGATTACTTAAACTTATTTTACTATTTGGTGAAAGTTAAAGTAATTTTAATGTCTTGACTTTCACTCAAGGCAATATGTGCACTGTAACAAATGTCAGAAATAAAAATAGAAAATAAGACATTAATTACTAAAATGTGGGCACACAAGGTTAATGTAGTATATGTAGAAGGACATGATGGTTAAATTTTTTTGTAGATATTTTTCTAGAACACACATGGCTCGTACACTTTTAGTAACAATATAATCCAATTCAGGAAAGGATTCAGGTACGCTAATACTAAGACTTTCTTTCAGTTTAGCGAAATCTTAATATTCAGTATGTTTTTAGTGATGTATAACCTGATTTTATGTATAGCATAAATTATACCTACATTTAAATGAAATTTAGATGCTCGTAAAAATCTCATTAAGAGATAACAGTTCAGATAACAATAAGCAAATTGTTCACTTATTTTTTAATATGTTAGGAAAATTATTTCATATGAAAAATATAATTTTTGAATACCACTGTGGTTTTTGCTAAAAGTTGCTAATCTTATACTTTTCCGATGATTATAAATATTGAGTTATTTATTTGTGTATTTTTTTCTTTAATTGTGTTTAATGTGAAAAAGTTTACTATGAAATAAATTTCATTAAGTACCGTTGCACCAAAAGGAGGTTTTTTAAATGCTGATCTAATTAAGATGACCACAATTGTATAAAAAAATCAATTGTTCAAAATCGTACAAATTCATAAGAAACTATCGCCTTGAAGAAAGCGATTATATTTTCATATTAATTCATCAAACGACATGTTCACTTTTTGTTTTATTAAATTTTAGAAGTAAAATTGATACGTGTTTCCTATTGTGAAATTACTTATATATTTGGTTCAGTAATGCCTTTGTTTCAGAAATAATATTATCGATAAATTGCATCTTTTTTTTTCACCTTGCCTATCACAAATTTTACCCTAATCGTACAATATAAACAGATAGGGGCAATATATTTTGGTTGCATCAAAAATTCACAAGAATTCCTAAGAACAAGATGCCACAACATAACCACACATATGATAATCTACGTATTTAGTTCAATTCTGACAGTCTGGTAAAAATTCATACAGTTTTATAAGAACAGAAAACATAAATAAATTAGTAAATTGACATATTTGACGTGGTCATTTTTATTAGACATGTTTTTTGCACTTGAGAATAATCTAGTTATTCTGAAGAAAAAAGATGAAAACTTCTTTATGTACCTAATTGAATGATCTTTTAACTGTCATTGTTTTAGGTCTCATGAAAGTATGGAGGACACGAGTGACATAGAAATGTCCCTTGATGACGCATCTAATGTGAAGGCATTTACTTCAAAAGTAGTGCAAAAATGGAGAGAAAATTTGGAGAAAGGTTTCCTTACTTCGTTACACTTTGAAGAACTGTGGAAGGTGTGGGTACCAAAAATATACAGCCCTTTGCTTAATGAGAGTTGTTTGAATTGGAATTTTAACGAGGAGTTGGCTCAGGAGATTCTTATCAACACGTTAGATGAGTTCATATGTAATGGCGATCCGAATGTTGTGTTTAAGCAACTTAGCGAAATGGATAAAGCACCTTCAGTAAGATATACAATCAATCTTAATCATTCAGTGCTTCATTTTATCACAAACAAGATCAAATTTGAAGTGTAAAATATTGGTCTTTTACTTTTATTATTTTTGGAAGATTACTATCCTAAATATTGAAAAGGTGAAAAGTATCTGTATAAAAATCATTTATTTTATGACACAATTAGGATTAGCTTTATAAATATGATAATTACGTTATTACAGTTACAATTGATATGAAATTATATGGTATCCAATTTCATATTTATTATTTTTAATTTATACATGCAATAAATTTTAACATCAAATAAATAAAAATATTATAACTTAGAATCAGTTCCAGATAAAATAGATCATGAAGTTTAAATTATCTTTATCGTAAATTTATTATTATTTAACAATCGAAGGACCTGTGAGTGGCTTTTTTTGCAAAGTTTCTATGAAAGTATTTTTTTTAATTGTCAGTGTTGCGAGAAACAACTACTCTGAGGGCTATATGCCCCTACCGGCATTGAATTATATTCGCAACACCTAGTGCAACAACTAGGATTATTTGTCACCATCAGTTTAACCCACCAGGCACAGACTGGTTTCGGACTTATTAGTCCTCATCAATGTGTCATAGGTGAGACAACCGACGAACGATCCAGCTGTTTTGCGTCCTATCGTCACGTCAAGGAAATACATTGTATGCGGGAGCGCAAATGGCTTCTACAAAAGTAGTTATTAAAACTCCAGAAAAATCAACAATTAATCAGTTATTTTATTTAAAAAGATGTCAGTTAAAGTTTAAAAATTTTTAAAAGATACGATATCTCAAGTACAAAAAAATTTGACAGTAATGATTACTGGAAAAAAATTTAAAAGGTTTAAAAAATTATGCACGATAACTGAAGATAGAGTGTATAATAAATATATTGACAATTGTGAAATAAAAAATTAAGTCTAATCTCAAAAACAACAAATTATTGTGCATAATTTTTTTCATTTTAAATTTAGTAGTTGACTGTTGTCATATTGAAAAATTACTTTATCACGCTTTCGCTGGAATTGTAGCTGCCTTTCCTTCAGTGGAGACTCAATTATGTTCAGTAGCATTCACCAGTTTGATTCGGTTGAAACAGCTCATTGCACACAACACCAAACTGGTTCCACCAAATACAGAGCATGAGCTTTGATCCATGAATATTCGGCCTTGCCGTCGATGTTGATGCATTACCGGACAAACACTACGATTTTCCATAGTGTATCAATTTTTCATCATCAATGACGATATGATGCAAAAAACTCTTTCTTTTTTTGTTATCGATGCAATTGTTGACACATAAAAAATTGCCGTTCAACGTCTCGTTCATATGGCATCCAATTGCCTTGCTTTTGAGTCATAACGAGTGCATTTAAACATTTGGAAACTGTTATGCGATAAACATTCAACGATTCAGCAACTTCATCTTTGACATGAATCTTGGTTGAGTATTGCTTACAATCTTTGAACTTTTTCCATTGTTAACTGTATCGAAATCACCACTCCTAAAAGAGCAAAACCAATATTCACACGCTTTTATCGATGAAGTATGTTTATCATAATTTTTCAACAGCACTCGAGCACTTTCAGCAGCACTTTTCTTTGAATTGAACAGGAAAAGTAAAACTTCCCACAAATGGTGTTTTGTTGGCATGTAATTGAACATCTTTGGCACTGAGAAAAAATATATTGTTTACAATGCAGCAAAATGGCACATAATTAAAAGTAAAGCCTAACGACAAAGCTTTGCATTGAATATAGCTACAGATATGTCCGATGTAATATAACCCAGTCAAAGTAGCTCAAAAATAGGAGTAAGCTTACAATAATTTTCGCCATTATAAATGAAATGTGAAATGTCCCCATCGATCCCACATCTACAAAAAAATTTATTCAAGGTCAAAGTTCGCAAATATGGGTTTTTTGCATTTTTCAGCCAAATGGTAAGTTTTATCATAAAAGTAGGTTGGACAAAAATTGTAGATCATGCAATTATCTATAAAATTGTTCTTACACTTTTTTCCTAAGAATCACCATTTCTCAGTTATAGCGATTCAAAAGGTTATCTACTGTGGTCCTGTTTAATTAAATAATATTGTATTAAATTAAAAAATGGTTCTATTGGAAATGATGAATGCGGTGTGAATTATGAGTAATTGGGAAAAACTATTCATCTGATTGATAATTTATCTAATGGAGCTTCAAGTGTAATGTCTTCTTCTTCTTCTATTCCTTCTTCTTCAGCCTGCTGGAAAAAGTGTAAGAACAATTTTTATCAGAGCTATTTTTATGATAAAACTTACCGTTTGGCTGAAAAATGCAAAAAACCCATATTTGCAAACTTTGACCTTGAATAAATTTTTTTGCAGATATGGGATCAATGGGAACTTTTCACATTTCGTCTATAATTGTGTTCCCAACATTCGTACCAATTTTCAGTTTTATGCGAATTATTGTAATCTTAAATGTCTATTTTCACCAGGCTAATATGGCATAAGTTACGTCTTTTATTGTAAATCCCTCAAGATTAATTCACAGTCCTAGTTCGTTAAGTTTTTTTTGCTGTTTATACATCTATATTGTATTCACAGAGCATTAGTCTGGTGATATTATTTTAAATTTTTGTTAAAATGGCTACGAGTAATTTTATATCATAGAAATTAAACTCACTTGAAATGCTGTACTCGCTTTCTGTGAAGCCTTGGACTACTGTATCTGTTCTTGTAATTCTTATAATTTTGAATGAAGAGATATGTTTAATAGAAAAAGAAAATAGAACAAAATCCAAAAAATATTCAGGCTGTTACAAATTTGCTTCTCACTACAGGGATCCTGAAAACGGTAAAAGATACGAACTAGCTTAAATGGGGGCAAAGTTACGTTATCAGGGGACCAACATTATGCCTCTAAAAAATCAAGGCTAACATGATTAGTTTTTGAAATATTTGAAAAAAAAACGAAATTTTGGAAAACCGTTTTTGTGTCATTTCCGCCTTGTTTGAGGTGATATTGAAAAAAGAACACTTTCTCATGGCCACTTTTTGCCCTCTATCGAATGGCATAATCAATTTTTATATGTAACGCTCTCCAAGACCATCATCAACTTCATTTTTTTAAATACGTCCTTGGAAATTTTTTACATTACATTTTTTGCTAGCCTTCATGTTCCCCAATATCCTGATTACGCAACTTTGCCCCCATTTAAGCTACTTCGTACCTCTTACCGTTTCCGAGATTCCTGAAGTGAGAAGCGAATTTGTAACAGCCTGTATACTAAATACATAGTAAAATATAAATAAGAAAATATAAATAAGAGACTGTAACAGAAAATAGAAAAATAGTATCATATATTTATATGAATATCAAAACTAAAAAAATATATGTATTGTATTAGTTTATATAAGTAGTTTTCAGAAGCTATGATCGTAATAATCTTATTATTAAGATCAATTATCTTGTCGTTCGGAAAGCAAACCGGTTACAGTTAAAAATCCTTTGGAAAGAGATCAATTGATCAGATTTTAATCATGTTTTGATTATTTTTTTCTAGCCGGCAAAAGTAGGATAAACGAGTCAGCTGTTTTATATAACTTTAAAATTTAGACGGTTCGTTCAGTGTTCAAAACATGATCAGCATGATAAACAACAATAAACTTGCCCATTTTATAAAAAGTTANTCTTGTAATTCTTATAATTTTGAATGAAGAGATATGTTTAATAGAAAAAGAAAATAGAACAAAATCCAAGAAATATTCAGGCTGTTACAAATTTGCTGCTCACTACAGGGATCTGGAAAACGGTAAAAGATACGAACTAGCTTAAATTGGGGCAAAGTTGCGTTATCAGGGGACCAACATTATGCCTCTAAAAAATCAAGGCTAACATGATTAGTTTTTGAAATATTTGAAAAAAAACGAAATTTTGGAAAACAGTCATTTCAGCCTTGTTTGTGGTGATATTGAAAAAAGAACACTTTCTCATGGCCACTTTTTGCCCTCTATCGAATGGCATATTCAATTTTTATATGTAACGTTTCGGCTCTCCAAGACCATCAACAACTTCATTTTTTTTAAATATGACCCTGGACATTTTATTACATTTTTTGCTAACCTTCATGATCCCCAATATCCTGATTACGCAACTTTGCCCCCATTTAAGCTATTTCGTACCTCTTACCGTTTCCGAGATCCCTGAAGTGAGAAACAAATTTGTAACAGCCTGTATACTAAATACATAGTAAAATATAAATAATAAAATATAAATAAGGGACTGAAACAGAAAATAGAAAAATAGTATCGTATATTTATGAGTATCAAAAAAAAAAATATGTATTGTATTAGTTTATATAAGTAGTTTTCAGAAGCTATGATCGTAATAATCTTATTATTAAGATCAATTATCTTGTCGTTCGGAAAGCAAACCGGTTACAGTTAAAAATCCTTTGGAAAGAGATCAATTGATCAGATTTTAATCATGTTTTGATTATTTTTTTCTAGCCGGCAAAAGTAGGATAAACGAGTCAGCTGTTTTATATAACTTTAAAATTTAGACGGTTCGTTCAGTGTTCAAAACATGATCAGCATGATAAACAACAATAAACTTGCCCATTTTAATAAAAGTTATAAAGTTGCATGATTTGTTAATTATAGATTAGCCCGCCAAAAATGTATGCTTGACTTTGACATCAGAGTATTTGTGCCGGTTCCATTCGGATACATTTAACCTTAATCAAATACTTCCTTAAAATTGGAAAATAGCTGTTAGTGATTCATCTGATCTCAGACCATAGTTTCTAAAAATCCCTGTAGAGGGGATAACTGAAGGTCACATCAAGTATAAAGTTTATAAAATTCATTGAAACTAATTTATATCTATCAAATTATTTTTATTATCAAAAATATTAATAAGATTCTTCCCGATGATAGCTGTGTTTTATTTACCTGTGATCTCAGCTAGCCTTACCTATTCTAAATGCTGATTGGTGAATTAGTTGAGATTAATTGAAGACTTTGGTGCAAGAAGGGGATGAGTATATTTTTGAAAAATGAGTTTTTGCAGAAATTGGTTTAAAAATGTACTTTTTTCGTCTGGTACAAACATGTATGAAATATGAAATCTGAATGACTATTACTTATCCAGTTTTTCCACCTGGTGTTTTAAAAATGAGTATTGCATGCACAATATTCTTTCTCAACAGTAAGTAAAATTTTTTGGTAATGAAATTGTTATTTAACTCATAAGTGAATAGAAAACAGTTCTTTTGCTTCTCCTGAATAATTTATATATTCGTGTTTATCCCCTTCTTACAGCAGAATCTACAATTGAGCCTTTAGGTAAATAAGACATGGGTTATGACAGCAATGGATAAATATTGGTGTTACTAACTGTGGCGATAAAAAGACAGTAAGCGAGCGTGACAAAATATTTCAACCATTTGGATTTCTCTGTAACATTTAGATTATTTAAAAACTAGGCTAGACTATTTCAGGGGTTAAATATAATGAAATATTTCAGGTTTGCGGTAGGGTGTTCAAATTTGGAGAGCCAACTTACTCCTGCAGGGAATGCGGCATGGACAAAACCTGTGTCCTTTGTGTGGAGTGCTTTAAGAACTCAGAACATCGCCATCACAAATACAAGATGGGCACATCTTGCGGAGGAGGTTGCTGCGACTGTGGCGATGTGGAGGCATGGAAGAGAGATCCGTTTTGCAAGATACACATCGCTGGGATATCCGAAGAAGAGCAGAAGAAAGGTCTTCCGGAAGACCTAATAGAACGTACTCGAATCGTCTTCGAAGCCGTACTTTGGTATGCGTATCGCCTACTGAGTACCGAACAAATCTCTGATATAAGACTAGGAGGTGGTTCCGACAACTTCTTTGATATTGACACGTACTGCACCATCTTGTACAATGACGAGATTCACACTTTCGAGCAGGTCATTAATACGTTGGCGAGAGTTTTGAAATGTAACCAGAGAAGCTCTACGGAATTCGTTACGAATATAGATCGCGAGGGACGAGCTGTTGTGAAATGCTCTAGTTTCCAGCACTGCTCGGATTTGAAGCAGGAGATCGAGAAGTACACCTCTAGGCACGGGAATAAACCTTTAAAAGTACTGGTTAACCACGCCCACGTGATCGCTCATCAGATATGCGCCATGAAGCTTTTAACGTGGTTGGAAAAGTTTCTATCGCACGGGGAGGGTTTTAGGAAAATCTTCGCCGACGTCGCTCTGAAACCACAAACTATGGAGCCTTGCATAATCAAGGGAATCTTGCAACGCGATTCCACCCTGTGGAAGAGCGCCAGGACGCAATGGCACAGACTGCTTATTTCTGGAATGTTGCTCGAATACGAAAATAAGAAATCGCTGGCTAAAATATTCACGAAGAACTACGGCCAGGTCATGAAGGACTTCATCAAGGACGATCATGATCATACATATTCCATTTCTTCCCTTTACGTTCAGTTATTCACCGTTCCTACGCTTGCCCATCATCTGATAGCCAATGACGACGTATTGTACATACTTCTGAATACGCTCATTTCCGAGTGTAGCAGGAAGTGCAATAAGGCGGGAAAACTTGAATTTGAGAGGATTCCGTCAAGCCAGTCATTTAAGAGGGCCCTTTATATGTTGTACGATTTAAGGTATTTGCTGAGCGCAATACCGGAGCAGTGGACCGACGAGTTGCGGAGGAGTTTCTTGCATGGGTTGTCCATGATGTTGAACCTACTAACTATGATGCAAGGTAAGCAAACATTAAATAGTTAACTAGAAGGGTGCACTCCCCGCCGGCCGGTAAATATAAAATTTTTGAAATCGCTCACGATTCGAACCGCGGACCTTCGGTTTTGCAGTCACGAGCTTACAAACTGAGCTGCAGCGTCCTGTCGGCGCACAGTGGACAAACACGCTCAAAATTCTGTGTGAGGTAGTAAAAGTTGTCCAAATAGTTTTTAAAATACTCGTAATTATGTCCGCTTTCTTATGTCACTGCGACAATTGCAATATTTTAAGATCGCAACTTGCGATATCTTAAATACTCTTATAAACTACAATCAGAAAAGTTTCCCATAAGTGATGCCACAAAATATACAATATTTAGCGAATATAAAAAAAATAAGATATAAATTTTCATAACCAGTTGTAAACCCTTCAACGACAAATTCTTGAAACCAATATCGCAATTGTCGCAGTGACATAAGAAAGCAGACAATTACGAGTATTTTAAAAAATATATACAGGGTGTCTGGAAATGATGAGCAAAAATAATTTTAGACGGAAAATAAATCCTACCTCTTTCTATAACATTTTTCCAAAACTGATTATTAACGGAGTTACAGGGTGTTACAGTTAAATTTTATTTTCAGTTTTTTTGCAATACCTTTTGCCACACTCATAATATTTTGACGAAATTTCGTATATGGGGGTTTTTCGGGATGAAGATTATAAACTTGCCCACCATTTTTTCGCATCTTGTAGAGGGCGCCACGTACGAGCCTTTATTTTGATTTGAATGGTTCCAACTTTTTTGTGCTACACTTTATGCGACTTTTGACTGAATATTTTTGTTCTCCTAACCTTTTGACATAAAAAAGGTATACTTTATTTGTTTCGATAAATCTAACCGTTTTCGAGAAAAACGCTAAAATAACATTGCTTGCATGTGATGAATACGAAATCATTTTAATTTATTTTCTACATTAAACATAGCATGCTTTGGAAACAAGCGCTTAGTTGCCTTGGAAACAAGTTTGTGGAGAATTAGTTTTGACAGATAGTAATTTTTGTGAAAATTTGTTGTTACGCTGATGGTGGTTAATGATAAATAATAAAAATATAACGTCCTCAATAAATAAAGAATGGTTTACTAACATAATGTTAAAATACATAAGTTACTAGAACAATACAAATACAAATTATTGATATGGGCCATTTGAAAGTTTGTGTTTCCACAGTTGTAAACAGAAAAATTAAAATGTTCAAATTAAGTTTTATTGCTATAATAACGTCTATAAAAGACCAGAGCCGGTGCGTAAAGCGAAATAACCACAAACCGTGGCTCGAACGTCCCAGAAAAAGCACCAAAGGACAAAATTCGTTTTGATGTCTTTACTCACGTTTGCCTCTGTCTGTGTATGTACTTCGAGTATCCCTCTCGCACCAAAAAACGTCGATTGCGGCAATGACTCTTTTTAAATACGACATTTCTCTTAGAAAACGTTAAGAAATCGCCTTTGAAATATATTAGCATGAAGGCTCACGAGGAGATCCTTTGGTAATGCAAAACGCCTATTTTGGAGGCTGAGTGTGGGAGCGAGAGTTACTACAGCATTTAATATACATAGATTTGTAAAACGTAAGAATAAGCACATGAAAACTGTTTAATTGAAAAATTTAATCCAGATTAATATACAGGGTGATTCACAAATGGGACCAAAAATGAAACCTCGTATTTTTTGGTGGGTTTTAAGGGAAGTCTTTCCTATAAAGGTTTTATCTAGGACGCTTCGTTAAAAAGATACAGATACTTCAAAAAATATTTTTAATTTTTTTAAATAATTTAAAAACTAGTAAGTGGAATAATTTTGAAATTGGACATATGTATTTATAAAAGCTGAGGGCTTTTCTAAAAACTTACAAGCTCCACTGGCGGAGATACAGGTATCGGTGGTATATTTTTCTAAATAAAATAGTACACCACTGCTTTACAGTAACAACCATGATATTTTCGGATTTGTCTTTCAATTTTCTACAAATTACTACTGTCTTATGTTTTTCGAAAAAAGCCTGATTTTCGAGTAAAACTTAAAAAACCAGCTGAAAACACTTTTACTTAATGACATGACAAGCACTAGTCATTCGATTATTTATTCCAATAAAGAAATTAATAACATTAGTCATCATTTTAATGATTTTATTTGAGTAAATGCTCAAAAATACCTCCATTTCCACAAACACAGGCCCGACGTCTTTTTAGTAACGAAAATATATTTTCGAAATTTATTATTGCTTGAATCTGATGAAAAGTATAATTTATTCTTTCTTCTAACCTCTCAGAATGTCAAAGTTGCTATCGCAGCCCACTATGTAATTTTAAAAAGCATTATATTCGAATATCAAAGTGTGTTCTCAGTTTGTTGGTTGTTACTGTAAAGCAGTGGCGTACTGTTTTATTTAGAAAAATATGCCTCCGATACCCTGTATCTCTGCCACTGGAGCAAGACTAGCAAGAAGGATGAGGCGTGCGGGGATCGAAAATCGGCGTATCTGTCTAGAAAGCAACAAGATATAGAAAATATGGCAGAAAGATAATAAAACATAACATCTATTATTTGTATCAGCAACAGACAATTTGCTGCAAGCGGCACTTTGATCCATTTTAATTATTACTACGTTTTAAAAACGTTTTGGTTGTGTTTTTTTGTTTAATTTATAAATTTATTAAAGCCAAGGAATTTCACCCCTCACTTAAGTTTATGCTATGGCGTTTCTAATGGTGGCGTGATCAAGTATTAGCATGTCTGTTTACACCCACTAAAAAAGCATTTCCCTATTCCCTATTCACTGCAATATACAGAGCTAGAAAATAGATCGACGTTCAGTGTAACTCAGTCTACAGACGACTGTAGATCCTATCGAAAAGCAGAGAAAGTGGCACATCTTTTTACAAGATAAATAATATTGAACCGTTATAAAAATCATTTTATATTTTATACGTTTTATGGTAATAGTGTTTACCTACGACCACTACTGTAAATACTTAAAAACACACCGTCTGCGATCAATGTAAGATTCCTATTACGTACGGTAAAAAAATCGCACAGTTTTCCTAGCAACCGCCTAGCAACGGTCAATACAATACTGTTTGTATTGACCGTTGCTAGGCGGTCGCTAGGAAAACTACGATTTTTTTTACCAAGCTGTGCGATTTTTTTACCGTACGTAAAATAGGAATCTTACATTGATCGCAGACGGTGTGTTTTTAAGTATTTACAGTAGTGGTTGTAGGTAAAGTATAGTACGTAATACGTGGTGTAATGCAATTACGCACTCATAGAATTACTTTTCCATTCGTGCGTAAAATGCTTTTTACAACACTTATTACATAATATACTATTTTATATTATGTCTGAGTCACTCTTTATAATTTCAAAGTATTGGAATTCATTTTGGTAAAAAATGTTTTTTTTTATGAGGAATCAGTTTGTCTCAACATCACTATTATACTATGTATAGATATGATGAAAAATTAAAAAAAAATTGTGATTGTCTCTTACGCTGTAAATTATTTTAATATTTATATTTCATTTAATTTACTATAGGTATGGACGCAGTTACCCGACAGGTAGGACAACACATGGAATACGAACCCGAATGGGAATCCGGTTTTAATCTCCATATCAAACTAGCATATTGCATATCTCTGGCAACAGAATGGTGCGGCACTGACAAAATAGTGCTCGTAAAAGCCTATCGCTCTGTCTTGAAAAAGCTCGTAGAAAATCCGTGCTACGAACCAAACGAAGCGGGAGAAGTTCGCGAATTAGCAGATCACAGTACGGCCTGTTTACACTACGATGTTTCTTCAAAGCCGGTTTCGATTCACTTACCCCTAACACGTTTTTTTGCCGCTCTGCACTTGTATCTGGAGAAGTTTAACTTACATTTTGACGATCCGGAATTCCAAGTCTCCAAACCAACACCCGTTCAAATCATCGAACCGGTACTAAGGGGACAGGTAATGATAGCTCAAGTCCACGCGGGAATGTGGAGAAGGAACGGATATGCCTTATTGAACACCTTATTTTTTTATCACAACGTTAAATGTAGGACGGAAATGTTGGATCGGGACATAACTTTACTTCAAATAGGTGCTTCTCTTATAGAAAGTAACGAGTTCCTGATCCACGTTTTAAATAAATTTAATTTAATCAACTGGGCCATGCCAGACTTTGAATTCAACAGTTTGAAATCGCCCGAGGAAGACAGCATGAGACAAACGGTGTATTTGGTAGAGGAACTCCTGCACTTACTTATAATTGTAATAGGTGAGCGGTACATGCCAGGCGTAAGCAAAGTTACGGTGGAAGATCGAATAAGAAAGGAAATCATTCAGCATCTCTGCATAAAACCGTTACCGCACTCCGAACTCATCAAAACTATACCGGATGACCTGACATCGCACGAGGTAGCTGTGGACGAAGTAATCCAGGAATTGGCGGTGTTTAAAAAGCCCACACACGGAAGTGGAAAGGGCGTGTATGAGCTTAAAGAACAATACTTTGATAAATTCAACGTATTCTTCTATCACTACACTCGCGAGGAACTGTCGAAAGCTGAAGAATCTCAGCGAAAGCGGCGCAAAGCTAAAGGCGAACTAGAGTGCTGTCCGCCACCAAAGTTACCCAAGCTAAACGAATCCTTTAGCCTCTTAGTCAATTTACTACAATGCGACGTAATGTTACACATCATGCAAACCATCTTAGAGCGGTTTATAAATTTAAGAACCAGAAGCTCCTCCGAGTCTCAACTACACAAAGTTTTACACCTCATCGGCTACGCCCTGCTAGAAGAAGAGTCTAAGAACTATCCTTTCTTCAGGTTCATCGAAAACGCGTCAAAGTTTAAGATATTCCATTTGCTGGAGGAACTGCTCAAATGTCCGAGAGTCGACGCACATAAAGGCCTTTTAAGGTGGACCCTAAACAAGTATAAACAAATAGCCGACAAAAGAGACAGCGATTGTTCGATGCTCCATAAAGAACCTTCGACCTCGGAAAAGGGAGACAGCGAGAAGGAAAGAAGGGCGAAAATGGCAGCAGAAAGGAGGGTGAAAATTATGGCCCAAATGCAAGCGATGCAGAACAATTTTATAAAAGAAAACGCCAGTCTGTTTGAAGAAACCAGCACGGAGAGGAAGTCTAGAACTTCCAGTAACATCGAGATTATGGACGTGACGGAATCCAACGAACGGCAACCCGTAGCTCTCGGTAATAACCAGTCGCAAAGGATAAGTACAGAAAAAACGTTTACCTGTATCCTATGCCAGGAAGAAGAGAAAGTAACAGCCGACGGTCCAACTCTAGTACTGGCTGCTTTCGTGCAACAAGCCACTGTCCTGTGCCAACACAGAAACAATGAGATACTGATGGACATTACCAAACACGACCCGTTGTACCTTCACGCAAATCTGGGACCGGCGCCGCATACGAGTACGTGCGGGCACGTTATGCACAGCGACTGTTGGAGGAAGTACTTTGATAATATAATGGTGAGAGAACACCGCAGACCGTATAGGCTGCGACACCCTGCTAGTTTCGACGTGGACAAACAAGAATTTCTGTGCCCCCTGTGCGAATGTTTAAGTAACACTGTACTGCCTTTAATTCCGTCATTAGGCAGCCTGCAGCCACCTTCAAAAACAAACGATCTGTCCTTCGAGCACTGGCTAGACGCCACCGGCATAGTCTTGAATAAGAAATTGAAAGTCTGCCACGGTATATTCAAGTGCAATCTCACGGAGGAATGTGAAAACATACATTGCAACGCGTGCATAAACGCCTCGAATGGAACAAACATCGAGCCGGATTCTGGAGACGATTGCGAGGTCAACTGCGTCCTGCAGCCTCATCAGGTGTTTTACTCGTGCCCACTCACATTTGTATCTGGCTGTTTACCAAAGAAATACCTGGAACTGTTTCCCACGGAGTACCCGGAGCTCAGCGTGAATCTGAAAGAAATGATCCAAGTTTTCGCGCAGGTGGCATATACTAGAGGCTTAAACGTCAATCCCCATCCATCCGACAAAAGACTGGCGCCCATGACGTGGAAATCACTAGCTTATACGATTCATTCGATAGAAGTGCTCCTGAGAGACGCAAATAAGCCTTTATTGGGACATCTGTCGAGCAGGCAGAGGGACTGCATAGAAAGCCTAGTACGGATCGTGGCGGTTTTAGGCAGTACCTGGTCGCGAAGTGTCGTTATTAGTAGCCACGCTTTAAATTTATTGTCGATTCTCTTCGAACACGTGAACGAAGGGCCTTCGATACTCCAGTGGGACTCCTTAGGATTTCTAGTTAGCTTAAGTTTTTCATTACCTAGTCTCTCGTGCAAAGACGCCCCTACTCCTGTCCCCTCGGGAAGTAATTTAAATTTATACACCCTTCGTGTTATATTTATTTGCCATATAACAAAAATACTCATTTTAATGAAAACCGAAGATCTGGAGGATTCTATGGACACGGATTTAAACGAGGACGAGGAAATCCTGGAGGTTCTGAAAATAATGGGTAAATACAGAGAAGGTTTAAGCGGGCACGCCGTTTGGAAGTATGTTCAGTACGCTACGTTACCCTTTCTACGGTGCTGCGTGTTATTCTACCACTACCTGACGGACATAACAGCCCCCACGACCCTAACCGAGCTGGGGGGTGATACGTTCAGCAACATGTGTGCTTACTTGGATTTAACGCAGCATCCCAAAGGTCTCTTCAACTCTTCCCGAGTAATGACCCTGATAAAACGGTGGTGCAGTCACGAAGAAGTGGCCAGTTATCTAAGCGGAACTCCTCTTCAAGTCATCCACGAGCCTCTACCTGTGAACCATCTCATAGATCTACCCGCGGACTACAGTGAACTAATAAATACCGTCTCAACGTTTACCTGCCCGAATAGCGACGAGGACTCGAGGAATCCCTGCATGTGCCTCGTCTGCGGCGAGATCCTCTGCTCTCAGAGTTACTGTTGTCAAACGGAGTTGAATAAGATGCCTGTAGGAGCTTGCAATTTCCACGCGAGTAAATGCGGGGCCGGGATAGGTATATTCCTGCGTGTTCGGGAATGTGAAATACTGTTCTTGGCCGCACCACATAGAGGCTGTTTCGTGTCCCCGCCCTACCTGGACGATTACGGGGAGACCGATCAAGGCTTGCGGAGAGGGAATCCGTTGAGATTATGCCCCGAGAGGTATAAGAAACTGCAGACGCTTTGGTTAAGTCACAGTATACACGAGGAAATCGCTAGGTCCATAGAAACTAGTACCCATATCGTAGCCACCCAGTGGCACCTTTTGTAGGTCTCGTTTGAACATTGTGATTCTACTGTAAATTACAAATTTAACACTAACGTTGATTAGTCTTATGTGCAGCAAGCATCCATATAATACCTTATCTATTACACTGCACTTGTTGATTTTTGTCTATATTAGGTTGTGTAGTAGCGTACTTAAGCAGTTTTCTTAATATATTTGAAGAAGCTCTCATATACTACGTTTATTATAAAAATATTTATTTATTCTCTCAGAGTAAATAAAACAAAAAACTGTTGTATTATATGTAATAACGATTATTAAAGTATTTAAAACCAGGTTCGAATTTCTTTTATTATTCCCAACAGTGAGAACTCCATTTTTTAGGGGATGACTTGTACGTCAAAAGATTCAACTCTTCCTCTGCTGATGCTATTCAGGCCGAGTATAATATTACAAGTTTCTTTCGTTGTGCGTAGATGTTACGGATTTGAAAACGCGAGCGTCTATTGGCTATTTACAAAACCAAGAATTTGAGAAGAAAAGAACACAGTATAATATGTATATCTGATCTACCAAAATAATGTTAAAACGTTATATTAGGAGTAACACCTATAAAAATAATATATGTATTAGGACGAAAAATAGCGTGACATAAAATAACGACTTATTATTTTATTACTCTAACATACAGGGCAGTAGAAAGGGATGAAATGTTCGTATTTTTAGCTCTATATTTCCTTACTGGATTGGTGAAGTGTACACAATATTCGAACTACTGGAGTAAAGATAATTTATGCACTGGTCCCCCAATATTTCACAAATCTGTTATAAGCCGTAATCGTTTTTTATCTATTTTAAAGTTCATTAAATTTTCACCACCAGATCTTGCCAAATGTAACGAACCACTTACCAGATTAGGTGTTTTTATGGCCCTTATAAACGAAAATTGACAAATCTTGGTAGATCCAGGTCCAGTTTTCGCTGTCAGCAGCATAACTTTATGCAGTTGTGACTGATTTCCACCCACCATGTCTCTTGATTGCTAATACATCAGCTCCTGTATTAGCCAGTAATGTTGCCAATGTTCTTCGGAATAAATGGCCTGTATATATTTCAGGATGTTTTAGTTTCAAAAACTGTGCAATCTTATTAGGAATCATAGAAAGGGTATTCGTGCCGACTGGTTGGTTATAATATCTATCTGCTTGGTGGCACATAAAAAATTGTGAAATTTCAGTTTTAATTTCTAATCTAATCTTGATATATTTCTTGAGAATTTCTAGGTGAGAAACAGAACCCAGTTGAGAAGTAATTGTAAACGTAGGTGACATACCATTTTTAGAATTGTAACTACAATAATGTCATCATCGAAATGTTTGAAATTGACGTTTAGAGTAAGTTTGCATAACTCATTAGAATGGCAATGCTTCTGCAATACCTAAGACCGTCATTACCTTCATTAGCAAATATGTGTTATCGGGGTGCCTGAACGAGAAAATCGTTGACTTGTTCTCTTGTAAAAACGTTTGACTTTTTAGGTGTATAACTGTCATTCTTATTTTAGTTCCGGAAACTGGGGATGTTAGGTCTCTGGAAGAGTTTCAAACTGCAGTTATAATTGTTAGTTCAAATCTTTCTGCATGAAGGCGTGGTGATACTAATTTTTTTTTTATTCCTGGAACGTATGGAAACGCGGTCCATCTGAAAGTTAAAGTTTTTAACAATATTTATTTGTTTTCGAGACATGTTCATTTCAACATGCAATGTCTGATGTAACAAGAAAATATACTATTTTATTTAAATCACACTGACAAAATATTCTTTTAAAATATTGTAATAATAGCTTTATTCAGACCCCATACTAATTAATAAACAGTAAATTATAAAAAAAAAACAATTAATCAACTACAGAAAAAGTAACAGAAAGTATTTAAAATAATAATGGATATGTAGATGTAGTTACTGTACAGAAAGATTTGACCTAACAATCTCACTTTCTGGAACTAGAATAAATTTCTTCATTTCGGAGATACTGGCAGCAGAAGTGTTAAATGGCACACCCTGTATATGATTAGGTCAAGATTTTCCTCTAACAAGCCCAGAAATTTTATTACAGACTTACAGAGGATTGAGGACCAATGTAATATAGCTGCTAAAATGTCATGGGCCTAATTGGGGGAGGTGCACGGCCCTCCCTACAAAGCTCGGTGCTCATCCCAGAAAAAAGATCCAATATCATCTTTCTCATATCGGTAGGTTGCTGGCTGCACCATTTCTTTTTCCTTTTTTTTTTAGTATCAAATGAATGAGTGCTCAAGTTTTAAATATTATATCGGTAAGTCGTTGAGTGCGTGTTTTTTTTTTTGAGACCTTCATAGAGCTTGCCACATCCCTGGGCCCACTCCAAGCCAAAATTATAGCTAAGCTCATGTAAAAAATACGGCATAAATGAGTTTCAACTTATTTTTTTAAACAATATAATTATTCAAAATTAGTATTTACACAGCTTCCCTCAATTGTTCTTTGCAAGTTGAAATAAACTGTATATTTTCTTTAACTTCGAATACCTTGTCTGTATGTAAAAATAAGCATTTCCAGGTATATTTCTAGGAACTTTGTTTTTATTAATTTGTGATCTTAAATCCACCACCAAAGTTAGCCAAGATTTTAGTTAAACCTTGTAAGTATAACATTAAAATTGTTAAAAATGGCTTGATCCCTTTATGAAATATAGTATGAAATGAAGTGAAAATTTTCAAATGGAAAAAATATTTTGTTGTTTGAAATTCAGTTAAAAAAAAGCTGAAAGGAATTTTATAATTACAAATAAACGAAATGAAACAATTCATTAATTAATAAATTATTTAATAAATTTCAGCCAATGCTTAGGAGAGCGATCGAGCAGAGAGCACGCTAAATTTGATGCTCGTGACTCATTTGTAAGATGGTCTCCTGCATGCATGATATTTTGTTACATTGATGTATAGTTGTTACAATATCAATTGGAACCTGTGAATCTTAAAGCAAGGACCATCCGCACTTATCTTGAAATTTCTTCATATGCCTTAGCCATGATGTGTCTCCTAATTTATACTCGAATAGCCATTGGGCGAGTCCAGTATCGGTAGCGAGTCCGCTTGATGTAGAATGGACAGAAGCGCGCTAGTCGTCAAAGCAAACCTGTCCACTAGGTTCTAAATATTTTTTTGCATGGTATTCTATAATTAGTTTGGTGTCAAACGCGGTTCACTTGGCTACTTGGGTTTGTCAATGCCGTAGAGAGCAGTGCTTGGCGTGGTATATTTATTGTTGGTATAATACGTATTATTAATTACTAGTTAATATTAATATTTGTTCATATCGTAACCAGTAAAGGGTAATAGTGTAATTATCTAGTAATTTAGCATGGCTTTCTGGAGACCCTTTGAAACGGAAGATAACTAAATAACCCGGGAAAATCCCCAAATAGTCGAGCCGGTTTTTGTCGAAAGCGTCAAAACAAACTCAGAGTTTAAAACCAAAGATTTACACATAACAAGTCAACATATTATTTTAAATATACAGGGTGTCCCGTTCATGTTTCAAAAAAACTTGGGTATAAGTTCCTCATGGAAAAATAATAGGGGTAATTCATGTAAAGTTTTCTTCTTAGACGCCCTGTTTTCAAGATGCACTGTGTTGAAGTTGTTACTTTCCAAATGGTTTTCCTTAATTATCTTTAAATCGGCCAAAGATAAATATGTCAAAAATTGTACACGATTAAACATCAACTGTCCGTTAAGAATAATGTACAAATTTTGGCATTTTTATCTTTAGCCGATTTAAAGATAATTAAGGAAAACCATTTGGAAAGTGACAACTTCAACACACTGTATCTCGAAAACAGGGTGTCTAAGAAAAAAACGTTACATGAGCTACCCCTATTATTTTCCCACGAGGAACTTGCACGCAAGTTTTTTTTAAACATGAACGGGACACCCTTTATATGAATTATATGTTTGAAAAGAGAAAATAGTGAACAATGTGATAAAGAAATTAGGAAACGGATTAGCGAATTAACTAAGATATCAAAAACAACAATTTATCGCATAATTAAAGAAGGAGACGTTATTAATCACGGTACAAAGAAGAAACGGAAAAATACAAAATTAAAGAATATTGACGATTTTACCCAGAGATGTAATATGGCGCACAATTTAAATGCGACATGTTTTATTACAATGCGGTTTTAAACATAAAAAATTTGACAATCGTATGGTAATTATGGAACCACAACGTATAGTTGCACTTCAGGAAGATTATTTACAAAAAATTCGAGAATATCGTCAACTAAATAGGAATTTAGCTCGGAACTATATCTAAACGAGACAGGACAAAATTTTTCTGGACGCGTATGGATTCCGTAGAGTTTATGAGTTCAATGTTATTATGCGGTTCCAACTGATATCGTAACGACTATAACAGTAGTAAAAAATTATTTTTCTTAAAAATTCCTCCTTTTTTACGAGATTAAAAAATAATATATTTCATGATACTTAACAATTAAATAGAACTTCAATACATACATACATACAGTCGAAAACATTACATTTTTAGAATGACTAGCCTGCCTTAATGTTCTTATTCAAACCACTTAGTTTTCTTCGCAAACGATTCAGCATTTACCAATTTATTTTTATACTCATTTACTAATTTCGAAAAATTATCCCTTTCACCACTATTCTTATTGATCTTCTGTTTCGGTTGCTTTATAAAATCTTTCTTTTTCTCTTTCAACGTCTTCTTGCTGTTTTTCTGTTTCTTTTTTTCCTTCTTTAAATTCTCATAATGTAATTTTGCCTGTGTCGATAACTTGTATCTACTTCTCATCTTCTGTTTTGTCCCAGGTTTTGCAGCGACTCCAGAGAATGGATTTATTTCATTTTCAGAAGTTGTCGTCACTTCTCGAGTTTCATTGTACTTCCTTTTTCTACTTATCTTAGTAAATGTATTTTTCTCCTTCTGTTCCGTTTTTTGTACTTTATCCTTTCCGAGATTATTCGCTTTAGATTTTTCCAAACGTTTTTCCCTTGCATTGATCATTTTCTTATTTTCTATACTAAATGTCACAATTGGCCTTTTTGTTGGTGAAAATATTTTGGGATTGTTATTTAAATTTCTCAATGCAGCTAAAGCATTTTCATGCTTTGTAAAAGCTACAAAACCGTAATTCTTAGATGTACCTATGCCTTTTGCATCTACATTTTTCATATCTCGCATAACTCGAGCTTCTTTTATAACAGTCCCCGGACCACCATATTTTTGGAATAGTGCTCGAAGTTTCTTGTCGTCCCAACCGGAAGGTATGTTATGAACAACCAGCCTGTCTTTAGACACAAACATATTTAGATTTCGTAACATTTGAGTTTTATATTGTTCTATTTGTAGCCTTTTGGCCATGTCATTTGCAGATACACTTTCAGCAGCTTTAGTCCCTGCCAAAATTACTAAAACGAAAAACATAATGTTAATAAATAATTTTAGATTTTTTTAAAACATTTACCTCCCTCCTTGACAAGATATAAGTTTCGAGAGTCTTTTGGTTCTTTCTTTAATTCCTTCTTGTTCTGTATTTTTTGCTGTACTTCATTTCGGCCTAATGCCGGGTGGCAATCTAAAACATTACCTAGTAAAGTTAATTCCGTACCAGCATTTAAAGCTTTTTCAGCATCTTCTTTATTCTAAAAAGTAAGCTTAGATAAGTTCCATGATGACTAACATAATTTTATTGATTTTGTATTAAGAAATTATAATTAATTATTTACACTCTTTTCATTATGTGCTTACCAAAAATTTTACAAAAGCGGTCCCCTTTGAATGTTCCGTCAATTTATCTACACAAATCAATGCATAATACACACGACCAAATTGCAACATGCATTGCTTTAGATCATCATTTGTAGCTTGGAAGGGTACATTTTTCACAAATATTGTTTTCCCTTCTGACACATCATTTGATTCAAAATGTACTTTCTGTTCATTACCTTCACTTTCATTTACTATTTCATCTTCTTCTTCATCTTCTTCACTTTCATCTTCATCTTTTTCACTTTCATCTTCACTTGAATTCTCAGACTTCTCTTGAATATCTGAACCTTCAATTGGATCAATTTTTTCTTCTGTAAATTCATCTACATCAATAGGTTCTTCTTTTAAAATTTCTATATCTACTTTCTTTTCCTCTCCATTTTCTTGTATATTTTCTTTTTTAATTTCCTTTTTGTATTTATCTATTGCTTTGGCAAAATCTACAGTTACCTTTCTCCCCATAAATTCTTTGCCATTCAAATGATGCCTTGCTTTTGCAGCTTTTTGTACTAACTTGAACTGAATAAACCCACAACCTTTTAATTTGCCGTTTTCCTTTTTCAATAAGTCCACATTGGCCACCTCTCCATACTGTTCAAAATATTCCTTCAAGTTTTCTTTTGTGGCTTTGAAAGGCAGGTTCTTAATCACTAGTCTCGCTTTTTTCAGCTTGAGAGCTTGTTTTGCCTGCTTCTTTCTTTCACGTAACTTTTGCTTAACAATTTCCTTCGATTTTGAATTTTTCTTCTTGGCTGAAATTAAATTGGTGAACTACATATTCAGATAAAAAATAAAAATAATTTACCCAGTGAACCCTTGTCCGACATGTTTGTGGAATATTTATTAAATATATAATCCCTTTAAAAGTTTTCACTTATAAATATTTCATGGAATCAAAAACATAACCCACAAAACATATAATAGAACATAACCTGTACATAGTACCAAAGAACTCTATATTCGGATTACTGATCCAATAGTTCGTAATGATCTAAATTTGGAGATATGAGCCCTTTTCTTTTACTCATGATTTCGGAATCATAACGTATTACGATCCGATGGAAACCAATCAGATTGCTAGATTTCGGATCGTAACGCGTTATGATTCCGAAATCGTGAGTAAAAGAAAACAGCTATGATGTTCGGAATTACAGAGGGTGTTCGGAATAGTGTTGTGATGATACGAGCGAAAAACTGTTCCGAATATTTGTTTGATTATTATATGTATTAACTCGGACAATTGATCTTTTAGTTTAGATACTTTTTTTCATTAAAACGCATATGCTTGCTCAAATACTAAACTATCTCGTTAATAAATAATATTTTTGAGATCTATATAAATAATTTATTGCATATATGAATAAAAAAGAAGGCCGAATGTTAAAGAAAAATAGATTACTCTGATCGACACAGTTTACACTTCTGTACATAAAAATACATGAGCAGCGCTTTGGTGCTCTCACAAAACATATAATAGAGTGCTCTGGACCAGTCTGGAATGCTCCAATAGTTACACCCGGAAGCATCTTCGCCCAGAAGTAATTAATCCATTGGAATGAGGAGCTCTGAGCCATTTTCTTTTACTCATAATTTCGGAATCATAACGTGTTACGATCAGATGGAAACTATAATCAGATTGCTAGATTTCGGATCGTAACGCGTTATGATTCCGAAATCATGAGTAAAAGAAAACAGCTATGATTAAAGATGATCTATGCTTATGAATAAATTCCAAGGTTTCTAGACGGGTCATTTTAATTTTTTTTACTGGTGATCATTTTTTTTAATATGTATGCATGTTTTAAAAATTTCTCCTGGTTCTTTAAAGCTAAGTTGAAATTGGCTGGGAAAAATATGAATGCTTTTCCATTTAAGATTTAAGCGCTACAAAAGTTTATAGCATATTCGATAATAGATCGTCTGCCCGAAAAGTTGTGCGAAAGGAAATATCTTGTCAATCAACGAACATAACCTAACACAACTAATTTGACATTTTTGACATTTTGACTTGTAGAAGTTCTAGTCGAATCGTAAAAAAGGCGCTGTTGTTCTTTAAGGCGGCAGGTGAAAATTTAATCAATAAGTTTAATTCATGATTAATCAACGTAGATTGTTCAGTGTTTCGTAATAAATGTTCAAATATTTATACATTAACAATTGTTTTCGTATACATTTCTTAAATGCAGAACATATAACCTCAAAATTAAGTTATTGTTTTATTACACGTGCTTTTGTGTTTACAATAAACGATTTTCAGAAGCTTGAATATTGAAAACGATGACTGATGAAGAAGGTAATTTGGTTAAAAATTAATAATTTATCTACCCTTTCTTTTAAATGTTTATTGACTTTTTAGAGTGTCCAACTTTAACAGACCTTACTTGTGGTGTTAATGAGGATGACGATTCTGATGGATGGGATGAAATGGAAGTTAGTGGAGAACAAACGACATGTTTGTTTTGCCCATTACAATTTCACACAATAGCTGTAGCGTTAGATCACTGTCGATCTGAACATAATTTTGATTTACTTGCATTGAAAAATAAGTATAATATGGATTGTTATTCGTACATAAAAATGATAAATTATATAAGGCTGCAAAAACCAGATCCAAAGATTTTAACAGAATCGTCTATTGCCCTTTGGGATGATGATGTGTATTTAAAACCAGGGGAGATGGAAACTTGGTTGATGTACGGTATGTATGATCAGTACAATATCCGTAGTACCTATAGTCACAAAGAAATATTCTGATTTTATTTCATTATATTTTTTTGTTTTATTTGTGTTTAATTTCAAGATTTTGATGATCTGGGAAGTGCACCTTCAACACCTCATTATGCAATTGATGGGAAAACTCCAATAAGTAATATAAATTTTTCTGACTTGCAGAGACAGATACAGGAATTAAATATGCAGGTAAAGTTAAATGTGTCAACCATATTTACAACCCACTATTGTATTTCTTGTTTTGAGAAATGTGAGTGGAATATGTTAAATTTTCTAGGTTAGACATAAGGATATGTTGCTCGAAAATTACTTAAAGGATATGGAAAAAATGAAAGAAGTAACAAGAACCATTGTAGATTCTGGAGACAATGGTACGAGGAAAATACAAAGTAATTTTAACTCAACTGGCTGTGATAGTAGTGATTATTTTAACTCGTATTCTCATTTTGGTATTCACCATGAAATGTTAAATGTGAGTAAATTTTGTAAAAAGAAAAATTAATGTTGAAATAAGTTGGAGATTTTTGAGGAACACAATGTGTGGCACAAATTTTTAGGATAAAGTGAGAACTGAGAGTTATAGAGATGCAATATTAAACAATATGCAATTATTTTCTGGCAAGATAGTTCTAGACGTTGGTTGTGGTACTGGAATTTTGTCAATGTTTTCTGCAAAAGCTGGAGCACAGAAAGTTATTGGAATTGACCAGTCAGAAGTTGTTTATAAGGCAATGGATATTATCAGGTAAGTAAGTACCAATAATATTCTCATGTGTGCTGTTGTGGATGAAAATTTTTTTTAATTACTTTGTATTATAGGGTTGTCCAATTTATTGTGACTTTTACATTATATATATTTTTTTCATTAATATTTTCCATATAACATTTTTATTGCTCCCTTTATACCGAATATCTTTATACAGGGTGTAACTTTAAGTGGACGTCAGTTTTTTACGGGTAATTTATTACTATTATAGTGCTTACTTGTTTCCATGAATTCCCTGAAATTATTATTTTTTTAAATCAAATAAATACTCCAGTTATAATTAGTTTTTTAAATTGCGCTTTAATTCTTGTGTATGCCGCCACTGAACAGAGTAAACCAGCGGTTCCAGAATTTACGTATGAAGTTGTATTCCTCACTGCCGGCGTTGCCTGTTGCTTTTATACCAACTAAACCGTGCGAAGTTAAAAAATAATTAAGCAGATCTGATTGATCTTGTATAATTTATGGACTTGTTTTTTTAAAGCCATCACATTTTTTTGATATCATTGTGGTACAAAAGCAAACTTGTAAAAATGGGAATGGGATTGGCCAAATATATAGTCTCTTAATTTCTTATTTAATATTCGACTATATCGTTTTGTGAAAAGCTGTTCGTGTAGTGCCGTTGTGTGGTGCAAGTGTATAACCTTATAAAGTTATTTGTTTACAGTGTATTGTGTTTTCTTTCTCATGTTTTAAGTGATATTACGGAAAAGCATCAAGAAACAGCCGAGATGATTAGAGCCTACTTTCTGTCTGAAGAAAACTATTCTACTGCAGGAAGACGATATCAGATAGATTATCCCAAAGGGCAGTATCTCATGACGGGTGATGTGAAATTTGCTTTTTAATAATATTTTCTTTAAATCATGAGATTCGGCAATGACGTATAGCACAGCTGTCAATTGTGCATGTGCTGCGACTAATACGTGCCGTTGTTTGAAATGACACTAGCTTGTCGAGAGGTGGGGTAGGAAAATTATTAAAAAAAGGTTAAAAAAAAATTAGTTTTCAGGATGGAAGAGAGAGAAAGAGAGAGAGAGAGAGAAGTACCTATTGATAGGTACATGTTTCTAAAGGTCAAAGGTAGCCTCTGTGTAAATATGAGCCCCACTTAAAGTTACACCCTATATTTTTTGTTTTTTCGGTTTTCAATATGATATTGAATATGATTTTTTTCCAGGGAAAATAACCTGCAAGAAACAATTCATTTAATAAAGGGGCAGGTGGAGAAGACAACTTTACCTGTAGAAAAAGTGGACATTATTGTTTCTGAATGGATGGGATATTTTTTACTTTTCGAAGGCATGCTGGATAGTTTTATCTATGCTAGAGATACTTATTTGAAAACAGACGGGGTCGTATTACCTAATAGGTGTAACATCAGTCTAGCAGGGATTTGTGATTTAGGTAAGGATTCTGAAATATAATCTTTTAACTTAAATGAGAAAGTTATTAGTAGAGCTCGACACATTGGTGCGTAAATAATGTAGAGGGGTTAGTAATTAGGACCCATGGAGTCATTCAGTGGCTAGATCTGTGGCTTGTTTTACTATATCTAGAGATTTTAAAATGTTTTCTGTTTAATACTAACTTGTATATAAACCCCTATTTGGAAATACGACGTTTTGGCCCTGGAGTATTTTTGTCCAAAAACGTAATGTTATTACGTTGACCCCAAACGGCTTCGATATTTACGTAATTTTTATTAACGGTAACGCGAAAATAATAAATTTATAATAACACAGACCCACAAAAAAAAGTAGCAGGTCCGAAAGACAAGAACATGGTAGCTATATGTTTTTGGGGTCGCTGAATCCGAATCCGGTGTCTGTTTGACCCTCTTAGCTCTGGTTGAAGGTCAGTTCAAGTAATCCGGGCGAATTAGACCAAACACATGTCTGTTTCAAAAATCGGGCCTAACTCGAATTTTATGGGCTTAAAATTAAGTAAAAAATACACAGAATAAGTCTAAATTTGTGTATTTGTAGAGGTCGAGCGTCTTTTTCTGTAGTTTCATACAATTTCAGTCAAATTTTTTTTTTATTTAATTCTGAAAATTTTGCACTTTTTTTTCCCACCACTAATTTTGCAATGTAACAAAAATTTTGCGAGCTTTCGCAAAAGTATATCCTTCTAGCAAATTTCCTCAGAAACAAAATCGATAATTATACCTCATGTCGTCATGTCGATTAGAGGCTTATTTTCGGAGATATAAGTGAAAAACTGAAAAAAGAACAACTATTTCTTTCTTTTGTTATAAATAATATGACGCTGGACCTCCGCAAATACACAAATTAAGGCTTTTATTCTTTGTATTTTTTACTTAATTTTAAACCCATAAAATTCGAGTTAGGCCCGATTTTTGAAAAAAAAAAAACAATTCGCCCAGACTGAAGGTCAAATGTAGAGAATCAGTCGCCAATAAAGTAAACCTACATATTTATATGTTTTTGGGGTCGGTGAATTCGAATCCGGTGTCCGTTTGACCCGATCAGATCTGGGTTAAGGTCAATTCAAAGTCAAATGTAGGGAATCAACTGCCAGCTGTGTAAACCAATGTATCCATACGTTTTTGGGATTGCTGAATCCGAATTCGGAGCCTGTTTGACCCAATTAGCTCTGGTTGAAGGTCAATTCAAGGTCAAATGTATAGAATCGATTGCCAACAAAGTAAACCTATATATTTGTATGTTTTTGGGGTCGCTGAATCCGAATCCAAATATTCTGACCACAGAAGTCATCGTAACGATAAAACTATATGCTAAAGGTTCACCTTTTACTTGCATTTTTATTTATTTAACACAGTTACATTATTTTTATATATCTTAGTGACGCCATTGACTTTGCATACAAATGTCGAGCTTAACTTATTGTATTAATATGTGACTAATTCTTTTTAATTTTTTTGCTAGCGGTAGCGTTAGTCAGTGGTATACATTTTTTTGCTTTGTGATCTTGGTTTCTTCTGTATTTTAATATTTCACATCTGTTGGTTCTATTTTCCATTGTAATGTTTTTTTTATATTATCATCACAAAGTTATTAACTTATTGAATAAAAACATTAACAACATAGGCATGTTTAACAATGTGACTGTAATCTGTATAATATACTTTTCCATTTTAGAAAGGTATAGTAAAGTCATAGATTTCTGGGACGATGTGTATGGTTTCTCAATGAAATGCATGAAGGCCGAAGCTTTGAAAGAAGCCTTTGTTGAGACCGTGCCTCCAGAAAAAGTCCTAACAGACTCCGCTGTTGTGACAGATATAAATTTAAGGACGTGCAACGTAAACGCGTGTATTTTCAGTTCGAAGTTCAAGCTTACCGCTAATAAAGACGGAACTCTGACTGCTGTTGCTGGATATTTTGATACATTTTTCGACTTGGAAAACAGCGTGGAATTCTCGACAGGACCTCATAGTACAAAGACTCACTGGCAGCAAACCGTGTTCTTTTTAGGAGAAACCGTAAATGTGAGAAGAGGTAAGATAAAGTTGATGTAAAAGGTGTTCTGAATTTATTATAACATTTGTTATTGAATGTTTATAATAAATATTTGGCTCATTGAGTTCCAGAACATTCGAAATAATTTTAACTGTTTCATTGCTGGAACTTTGCAACATTTGTGTGTGAAATAAAATGAATTTTTAAATTTTTTAGTAAAAAATAATTTCAAAAAATTCCTATTGACGTCGCATATTTTGTACTTATTTGTTTGTAGGCGAAGTCATAGAGGGCACCATATCTTGTACGAGACTCACCAAAAATGTGCGAGGGCTATCGGTTGCGATCACAATCAGAAAAAATAAGTATCAGTACTATCTAGATTAACGATTTTTATTATCTTTTATATTTTGTTTTAAATTAAATTAAAAAATATATTACAACCAGTACCTAAATCACTAAGTTAATAATTTATTAAGATACAAAACTATGAATTTTTAAAATCCATTATTTCGCACCCTGAACACCTGGTTTATAGGATTGAAAGTCGTCCGTTGCGTCGTGAAGAATGGTTGTATCCTGTTTCTGTTCACGTCTGGTTGCACGTCCGCTCTCAATATTACGACACCTGAAAAAGCAATAGAATAAAAATTACAACCGAGAACAAAGAAAGATGATCGAGGTGAAATTTTCTCGGAATAGTAATTATTTCGAGATATTTTCGGGATGTTGAATAAGTTCTCGCTCTTTTTTCTCGAAAATTGCTTTAAAAAAAAAATTGTAAAATTACCGTCACTGAAACTATTGTCTATCATTAGCTACTTTTTTTTTCTATCTTTTTGGCAGGATTTTAATTCAACATTGAAAAAATGACACGTCTTTTGAGGGTATTCAATACTCTACCCATTCTTTGGCATCTTTATAAGAATGTAAGTGCTGCTTAGGTAGACCATGTACCATCGTTGGGAACAAGTGATAATCGGAGGGGCAATGGTGAATATGGCGGGTGGGGTAGGACTTCTGATTTGGAAGTGATTCCAAGTAGGTTTTCATGGGTTTTGCAACATGCAGCCGAGTGTTGTCATGTTGCAAAATCACTTTTCTCTGCTTGTATAGCGCCCGTTTTTCCTTCAATATTCAGCTCAAAAGCATTGAATGTAGTCAATAACTACACTCAGTTGATCCCATAAAATGTTGGGAACCATTTATATTCAACTTTGCCGACGATGTTGGGCTTGCCCCTTGGTATGCTTAGGATTATCCCAACATATCCATTTTTCATTGCCAGTTATGGTACAATATAAAGAACCTTTCCTTTTTTGCCGCTGAAGCAGCTGTTCACAAGTGCAAAGGCGCCGTTGGACGTCTCTCGGCTTCAACTCGTATGGCACCCAATATCCTTTTTTTTGAAAATGTTTGATCAACTCCCAATGATTCTGCAAGTTCAGCTAGCATCTGACATGAGTCTTCATGAAGTAAATCCTTCAATTATTCATCCTCAAACTATTTTGGTGCGCCAGAGCGTTCTTTATTTTCAACATCAAAATCATTATTTTTGAAGCATCTCAACCAGTCTCTGCATGGTGCTTGTGACAGAGCATGGTTGCATTGGTCACCGCAAGTCCCGACAAGAGTTCTGTGTTCTTCAGCTGCAGTTTCCTTTCAAACAATGTAGTGCAGTGAAATTCCCCGTCAATAACCTTTTTTCGGCATGAAATTCGACATGTTTACCACAATGACAAAAAAGGTAGTTAACACTTCCGCAAAATAACATACACTGAATTTCAAGCTTACTTATAGTACTTCTTTATAAATGCATTAGCATCTTAACTACACGCTTGCAGTTCTGGTAACGTAATCTTTTGGAAATTAGCGAGAACGTATTCAACGTCCCTATAGAAACCAAATATATATCTTTCATCAATTTGTAATGTACAAAAATAAAATCCCTTTATAAAATTTCTTTTATTTCTTTCTAATAACCCAATTTCAGTAATATTGATGAGTGCTTATTCTAAAATCACCGATTTTGCAGCAATATGGATAATTTTTTTTTGTGTACAGCTTACATTAATTTCGATACTTTTCTCACATTTCTAGAAGATAGGCAAAAACCAGTTAAGATGTCACGGGTTCATTTTTTGAGAAAATTAGTCACAGGTAAATTAGAGTCGTCCTTTCTTATTAGTTTCGGCTTATGCCATAATCAGGCAAAAAAGAAGAGTAACAATCACTGGAAAAAATTGGCTGCATAAAACTGCTGATAAATGACTATAAATTTTTGCGTAGAAATAAAAGTGCCATTAAATTTATAAAAATAAAACATTTTCACAAATAACAGTTATTGAGAGCACACAAAAATTCAACTACATACGATAACCGACATATATCAAGAAACGTTTAAGATGTGGTGTTCATAATTCAATTTATTTCAAAAACGGAGCCCTTAATATTTTAACTATTTTTTTAAGCATAATTTCATTTATCAAATAAGTTCGATTCTTGATGATTAAATCATGTTTTGTATCGAACGTTATGAAAATAATGAATTACGTGAAATCTTTAGACATACAAAAAATTTGCAAGAAAAAATTACAACAAGGCTTAATATTTATCACAAATCAGTGACGAAGTTACCAGCAAAAAAATTAAAGTTTTTTTTTGTGCAGAGGTGGAATAACTTCCCCATTTCTAAAAATTTGATTTAAATCAGATAAAGTGCTTTACTGTTATCAGAAAAAAAAAATAGAATATTAGCCAATTTTATATCTACTGTGAAGCAATTTTGGACAGAAGTAAGGTAAGTGTTTAGTCAAATCATAATATAATTTTAAAATCTGTGGTAATCCAATGTTTAAGAATATTGGAACACCTTGTATAAAAGAAGTGTTTGATGATGTAAAATGTGACTAATTTTTAATTTTTGCCCAACCCAAATCTGTGACTTGATGCAGACATACAGTCATACAGACCTACTTTTCTTAAGTAAACTATTATAAATTAATATCGATCGATATTAATATATTATCAAAAAAGATTAATGTTTTAGAATTTTGAGATATTTTGTGGTTGAGAAATACGCTTACCTGATGGATTCACTTTCACTTTTATTTTCGTTTGTGGTGACAGTACACCGTAATCTACATCTTCGTATAAGTCCTGCAAAAAAATAATTTTTATTACACGGCTATATTGAGTTAATGAATCATAAAAAAGAGATTTATGCAAACATTTTTATCCTCAGGTCGTAGGTATCGCAACAGAATATGGAATTAATACATGAATGTCTCTTATTATTTTATCGATTGAATGGATTACGCTTCAGCGTCTTGAATTTTTGATACTGCAGAAAATCTATGTTATAACTCAATATTTTGGTAAGTTAATAAATATGTTCACATAAAATAAATAACATTGCAAAATGAAGGTAGAAGTATTGTGCAAAAAATATTTTATTTTAAAATCAATTTAAACTATTACCTATACATAGATAATATTAAAAACATTTTTAATGAACCACATTTGATTTTAGAAATCTATCGCCTCTACATATAAACATAATTATGTCTGTTGAAGCAGTACAAAAATATTGTCTTGGCTAGATTTTTTGAAACAATGCATACTTAATATTTCGAACAAGTCCCGTAAATTTTAATTTGTATTTTTTTATTTTCATTGTATCAGAAAACTTAGGTTGGTATTTCGACGAACATGCGCAATGAGTCTAACGACATTTTGTTTTGACAAACTGTTCATTCGGATAATATGTGGTGTGATAAACTTCTTTAAGTAATTTATTTTCGGTTCTTTTGCTGTGTTTTGGTTTTCTGAGTTACGGTTTAGTGATTGTGATTATTAATTCTGCTACACTTTGTGTTAGTTTTGAGAGTTTTGAGTAGTAAAATTGAGTCAATCGCGGGATTTCTATTAAGTACATTATCGGTATTTGTTCGTTTTGAATTGTTTTAGACTTGTAAGTTACAATAATTGGAACTATAGCGAGTTTCACCGTGTTGGTTCAAATATTGCAGCTCCTAAAAATCAAGCATAAGTGTAAAAAACTGCTAGCCCAGCAACAGGTAAGTGCTGCATCTTTTTTTCCATTTAGGTGAATATTTCGGATGCCTGAAATAAACTAGTTCAGGCTTATTTAATTCCAATATCTTGAGAGTTTTTATAGAAGTTTTTGCTTTTCGTAGATGTTTCTTTGATGCATGTTTATCTCCAGAATTATAGACAAGCCATAGGCGTATCATTCATTTTTTTTGTTATTAAATGTTGTAACTATTAATATCATAAATTTTTATCTAGGCGTAGGTAAACGTTCTACACAGTTAACTCCAAAAATATAAAAATTTAAATTATTTTTAAATTATGATCTACTTAATTGTAGGTAAGGATTTAATTTAGAAATCCATATGATGTAAACGAATTTAGGCCGGTAGGTACGTCTCAATTTCAGACTCTGAAATATGCAAAAAGATGATGTTATTTATGGATTGTTGAATGATTGTTGCATTGACGAAACTTTACCTGTAGGTAAAGTTTGACTGTAGTGCAAAAACTGCATTGTCATATTCAAAAAACCGCTGCCCTGTAGTTTCATTAATTTCCATTTGTGAAAAAGAAATGGTAGTAATGTAGAATATACAGATATTAATTAATTTATAGATATTGTAATGGAAACTATTCAGATATTAAACTAAGTATATGCTTATTAATTTGTCTCAATTGTTTTGGCAAATGTTAATATTTGCATTTTATCAACGTATTACATTGTTCATAATATACCTATGTTGTGGCACGTAACAACGTAAATATAACATAACAGAGACAAATATGAAGATTATACATATGATAGAGTACAGTTTGGGTCTGTGCTAATATATATTTTTATTTTTAATGGGTCAATTAAATGGAGAAAGTTTCGGAATTGTATGTTTCCCACATATGCATATTAATATCTGGCAATTCTGTGGTGGTTTAATTAGGTTTATCCAGTGGCGTACTTGTATAGACTACTATCCATTAATAGTATTATTAACCGAGTTATTATTAACTGCACTGCATTTTCTACTTTCTATAATAAATAATCAATAGTAATGAGCACGTACTTTGTTTTATCTAGAAGAAATATTTTATTACAAAGAATATAGATACCTATAAGAAAATCCAGGGTACTCCAACAATACAAAATGGACACTTGAAGTAGATATATTAATTGAACATTAAGTTTTTTTTACCCATTTTTACCCTGATTACATTACATTTTTACGGCCATAATATTTTTAATTAAAAAATACTTAAACATCGATTACTTAATGTTACTTAAAAATATAGGTAGGTATGTAAGCGTAGTGTTTCCAAATATTTTTCTCAAAATGTCATTATTTTTGTGCATTTAATCAATATTGACCGTAACCTTCTCAAAATGAAACGTACCTACTTACTATACAGGGTGCTTCCTTTATGACTAAAATGCCCGCGGTAACACCCCTATAAATTTTTAGTTTTTATTCGTTTTATTATTTTTTTTTGGAACATGGCTCGTAATTTACAAAGAAAAAAATTATCCTCCCTCATTCAATGGGAGACTCCATCAATCTTTTGGTTTTAACAACTGATTTTTAATAGGAAATATTTATTAACAAAAGATCTACGAGTGGGTATATGTATGTATTGAGAAAGTAACATTTTCGTGAACTAATGATCTCCAAATCAAAAAAAATTATATAACTTTTCATTTTGTAATTACTTTACCATTTAGTGCTGAGTGCTAACAAATGTCACAAAATAAGTCAACAGAAGGACATAGTAGTTTTACTTACGTAGAAATAATTTTTTATGAATATTTATTTAGATTTTTTGGATTTGTTTTTGATATCCTAGGCGGTCTTGCATTTTTGAGGAGTAAATTTTTATTTATAAATTATATTCAATAAGTCATACTTTGAAAAAATTGGAACAAATCGTACAAGAATTAAAAAAGTTGTTAGTCTCTATATATATTTGGTATAGTGGAACATTCGGTATACGATTATACTGAAAATGTATTCTACCTGTCTGTAAAAGTACCTATACATTTCGTTGAATGAATCGGAACTCGCTGAAAACAAATAAACGTCTTTTTCTGAGACAATACAGAAATTAGGAAATGGGAAAGTATCTACTCCAACAATTGAATAACATGATTGTTAACTAATTGGATAGATGTCAAAAAATTTTTCCTTTAAGCACAATTGTCATACTTCTCGGACTTTGCTTTAATTTTTAAACTATAGGTAGGTACATGATTTTTGCGAAATAAAACGAATGACAAAATCCTCGCAATGATCAACATGAAATAAAATTGCATACGTATTATGTTGTTATTTTGTATAGTAATGGTGCAACTGCAAAATATATACTCTATTACTCTACAATTGTTATCCAGTCCTGTTTTTTATGACTGTCCTCGTTCACGCACTTCTGCACACCTCGCGCGATCTGGCCATCTGTCCATCCACGCTTGAACCACATGTCAGGGCGCCACACACTTCAGTTTTCTGAGCTAAAGAAATCAACATTCAGTGACGTCGAAATTCTGAGGTTCTTAGTAGTACCGATTTTCCGTACCTCCTCCACTGGTTGCCGTATTTCAGTCAATTATGTCATCCAAGACCATCTTCTTTGTTACATTTTTAATAAATCAGTTTAGTCCAGACGGTATCTGTTTCAAAAAGTCCATATTTGGGTGAATCGTATATCCACGGAGATTTTTGGCTTTTTGGCTTTGAAATATCACTAGAAATGAAAATTTTTCTATGCGAATAAAAAAAAACCGTGGGCTTCACTTTTGGCGGCACAATATGTTAAAAAAATTCGAAATATATCATGTTTTTTTTCCTATTTAATTATGTATCTTTTCAAGAGTTCATTTTAGTCGAAAATGGAAGAGGAAAAAATGTTTGTAATTAAATTTTACAAAATATGACTTGTTACAAATCGAATGAATCAGGATTATTATTGTAAAAATCGAAAAAATCGCCAAAAATTGTGTTAAAGAACATTATTTTTTAGGGAATTTTTTTGGGGTCTTCATACCTTCATACTTGGCTCAAGAAAGGTTCATGTTATGTAGAATCATCACACCAAACTTCATCAAAATCGGTTCGATAGATTTTGCATAATAATTTTGCAATCCAGATTTTGAAAAAAAAATTGCAAATTTTCAAAATTTTGCACAGCAAAAACCAAGGCCCTTAGATACTTGAAAATTTAATCACATATAGAAGGGCTCTCAAGCTTTCAAACTTTTTTTGAAAAATTCGAATCCGTCAATTAGGAGAGCTCTGGCGCTTGTTTAAACATTGGTCGAATTTTTGTACATATAAACAATTAGAATAACTGTGAATATTCAATCAAATCAAATTTTTAAAACAAGTTTTAAAAGTTATTAATTATGAATAAAATATTATTGATTTTTTATAATTAATTTATTAATTTAATCATCATTTCTTTTGTGATTAAAGTATAATTCAAATATTATTTATTGTTTAAAATATAATCAAATGAGAAATTAACTCATTATATTACAAAATTTCATAATTATAGTACAAAAATTCGACCAATGTTTAAACAAGCGCCTAATTGACGGATTCGAATTTTTCAAAAAGCGTTTGAAAGCTTGAGAGCCCTTCTATATGTGATTAAATTTTCAAGTATCTAAGGGCCTTGGTTTTTGCTGTGCAAAACTTTGAAAATTTTCAAATTTTTTTTTTTCAAAATTTGGGTTGCAAAATTATTATGCAAAATCTATCGAACCGATTTTGATGAAATTGGGTGTGATGATTCTACATAACATGAATTTTTCTTGAGCCAAGCACGAAGGACCTATACCCAACTTAAAGACCCCAAAAATATTCCCTAAAAAATAATGTTCTTTAACCCCATTTTTGGCGATTTTTTCGATTTTTACAATAATAATCATGATTCATTCGATTTGTAACAAGTTATATTTTGTAAAATTTAATTACAAACATTGTTTTCCTGTTCCATTTTCGCCTCAAATCAACTCTTGAAAAGATACATAATTAAATAGGAAGAAAACAACATTTTTCGAATTTTTTTAACACATTGTGCCGCCAAAAGTTAAGCCCTCGTTTTTTTATGCGCATAGAAAAATTTTCATTCCTAGTGATATTTGAAAGCCAAAAAGCCAAAAATCTCCGTGGATATACGTTTCACCCAAACTAAAACAGATACCGCCTAGTCTAGTTTTATTTCAGACAAGTGTATGTGAGTTTCAGATTAGTCACATATTATTTGTTTCAAAAAGCATCAATAGTATGTCAATTTCAGTTAAATGTAAATTATTGTATTTCAGAATTTGTTAACGGTATTTTAGCAACAAATTTTTTGTTACAAGTTTCTAATATACGTTCACATACGAGTTTATGAACAGTTTTTTTATTAACCATTCGAAGTATATTCCACATTTCGAGATTCATTTTTCTAGAGTCAATCAAATTTACTTTCTTAGTTCTTTCACTTTAATAACAACTGCATATATTGAATATGTCGAATAAAATTTAAAAATGTGAAAATAAGATCTGGAAGTTGTACTTACTTCGACTCTATAACCCGTAGGTGATGTAAGCCCCAACTCTTTGAGGGTAACGGCTACATCAGACGGTGTTCCGTCTGTCCGCCTGTTGACAAATGCTATCGCATAAGAGAAGTAGTTTTGGTACAGCGGCGTTATTGGTCGTGACCAAATTTCAATCCCTTTGTGCTGAAACAAAAATGGCAGTGTGAGAAATATACAGCCAAATTCATAAAGAAAATTAAGAAAACTGTTTTAGATAGGTACAGGCTGATTCACTATATTTTGACCCCCCCTTTAACTTTTTGTTTTAAGAGTTATACAAAAATGTAAAATACAAAAGTTGCACGATTTTTTATAAATTTTCCGAAAATGATATTTGAAAAACAAATGAAGTCCAAACAAAATGGCCACGGATGTCAACTTTGTTAATTTAAATGGAACACCCGGTATATTTTTACATATTTGGATAGAACGTACGCTGTCGAGCATAGTCATATAGGGTTTGTTGGGTCCATTTCTAACAATAAGCGAGATACTATTAAAAAAAGGAAATAATGTTTTTTATTAAGAAAATAAGGTATCTTGTAATTGGTATACCTCTTTCAGGCACTTCTGCCTTTTTTCCAATTACGTAAGGGTTTACAGATTTAGTTGTAATATATTTTGAAATGGCGAACATTGATATGGTCCAATATATATATTCTAACTAAATCTCACTAATTAGGCTGTGAGAGGCCTAATTACTCATGGACAATGTTATATGGTAGGCCGTGACAGTGACAGGTAATGTCATGATAACATCGTTATTGATTGACAGTTTGAATTATGATTTAATTAAAATAGGTTACACAGCAGTACAAAATTGAAATATTATTAGGAATTAAAATAGAGTATGTAGAAGATCTTTACTCTATTTGAATTCCTAATAATATTTCTACTTCTATGTACCCTATTTTAATTAAATCATAATACAAAATGTCGATCAATAACAATGTTGTCATGACATAATCCGTCACTCTCACGGCCTACTATATAACACAGCCTAATTAGTGAGATTTAGTTAAAATACCTATACGCATTTTGAACCATATCAATGTCCGATTTGTCAAAATCAACCAACTAAACAACTAAATCTGTAAATCCTTACGTAATTGGAAAAAAGAGAGAAACGCCTGAAAGAGCTCTAACAATTACAAGATATCTTATTTTCTTCAGGGCGCCATATTCTTTAAATAGTGTTTTCCACAAAGATAAATAATTTAAAACATTTAATAACTGAATAATCTAAAGTTTATCAAATAATAGGAATGTTATTTCATGCCATCTGGGTATTTTCAAAGACGCCGCAGTAAAACGAATAAACAGATGCAAAAAACGATCAAACCATCAAGGTTTTAGGTAGTGAAATCTACGAAAATACTAACTTTTTTATATATAATTCCACATGTAAATATTCTTATAACATTTACTTGCTTAGTCCTACATATAAAATTGTTTACTTTTATTTATAAGTACGTGAAAATAATTCTTAAAATGTGGGGTTAGGATAACAGCAAACGCATGTTTTACAAACGCTTTTTTTAGTTATTATTTTATTTGAGTAAATTTAAATAGTAATAATGAAAAACAGAACATCAAAGATTTTATTTTTGTGTTTACTTTTGTTCTACATGTTTTACTTTTCAAGATTTCAGTACCTAAAAATGCCAGAAATTTGACTATTTCTCGGCCTGGGATATGGCCATTTTAAAAAAAACTTTCTTTTCTTTTTAATAGTATCTCGCTTATTGTTAGAGATGGACCCAACAAACCCTATATGACTATGCTCGGCAGAGAACGTTCTATACAAATATGTAAAAATATGCAGGGTGTTCCATTTAAATTAACAAAGTTAACACCCGCGGCCATTTTGTTTGGACTTCATTTGTATTTCAAATGTCATTTTCGAAAAATTCATAAAAAATCGTGAAACTTTTGTATTTTACATTTTTTATCTCTTAAAACAAAAAAGTTAAAGGGGGGTCAAAATATAGTGAATCACCCTGTACCTACATTAATTTTATATCATTAAACTATATGTTTTTGCTCCATAGTGAATTCAAAATTGTTTCAGTTTTCCATTTCAGTAGATAATTATGATTATACCTCAGCGGTTTCATATCAGAATTTATTTTCTAACCAATTTTCACATAATAAATAGTATGTTACATTAAAATTATAGATCCTCAGCATATTGACACTTCAGAAATCAAAAAAATATCCGCAATTAGAAACATAAACTTCTAAAAAGAAGTGATTTTAAAAATTAAATATTAATTTTTACAAAAAAACAAAAATAAGAACTGTATTTTTGGAACTCATATCTAAGGACGAAATAGGCTAATCAAGCTAAGTATGCCTTAACTAAATACTGCCTTGTCAATTTAAAGATGTCAAAATTTAAAAAAATCAAATTCTAATAACACCTCAAATAAGTAAAAAATTTTCTTAAAGAAGGCAATGATAGTGAAATAATCAAATTGATTGATGGAACAATATTTTGCAAAGTAAATATACCGATAAAGNTGTAAGAAATATACAGCCAAATTCATAAAGAAAATTAAGAAAACTGTTTTAGATCTGTTTTAGATAGGTACAGGGTGATTCACTATATTTTGACCCCCCCCTCCTTTAACTTTTTTGTTTTAAGAGTTATACAAAAATGTAAAATACAGAAGTTGCACGATTTTTTATGAATTTTTCGAAAATGACATTTGAAAAACAAATGAACTCCAAACAAAATGGCCGCGAATGTCAACTTTGTTAATTTAAATGGAACACCCTGTATATTTTTACATATTTAGATAAAATGTACCCTGTCGAGCATAGTCATATAGGGGTTTGTTGTTGTCGAATGAGAAATTTGCAAATTTCTAAGGACGAAATAGGGTAATCAAGCTAAGTATGCCTTAACTAAATACCTATTGCTTTGTCAATTTAAAGATGACAAAATTTAAAAAAAAATCAAATTTTAATAACACCTCAAATAAGTAAAAAATTTTCTTAAAGAAGGCAATGACAGTGAAATAATCAAATTGATTGATGAAACAATATTTTGCAAAGTAAATATACCGATAAAGACATTTTAAAGATATTTTAAAGACGAGAAAAAATTTTAATCAAGAGTGCCTTTTTTTCGGAAAATTAATAATACAAATTTTTTACTGTCCGTTTCTATCAAAGTAGGCCAATTTATACACAAATTGAAATTATAATATCAATTTTAATTTTAAGCAAGTTTTCTTAATGCCATATTTCTGTATTGTAACAAAGGTAGTTTATTCTTTAACGATTTTTATATTTACCGATTTTTTGAGCACCCTGTACATGCAAGATGAAAGTCCTCCATGCCAACCGCATTTTAAAAACAAGCAAACATTTTAATCAAGAATGCCTTTTTTCTCGTAAAATGAACAATAAAAATGTTTTACTACAATCGCATTTTAAAGGCAAGCAAAAATTTTAATCTAGACTGCCCTTTTCTCGTAAAATGAAAAATAGAAACATTTTCCCTCTTTTCCACTCTAACCGTGGACATACTGTATATCTAGATATTAATTTAACAATTTCGTGCATATAATTACAGAAATTTATTAGCTTACCTTGTAAATACGCCTTCCTTGTATACCCAGGGGATCTTGATCTACAGCTATGATTTTCTTATTTTGTAAAATGGCTTTGTACTCTGGTCGTATTGTTCTTAAATCTACCGACATAAGCAGTGGTGCTGCTAAAATTGCCCATAAGGCCATTTGCGTCTTGCTCTGTTCGTAACTTAATCCGAAATTTCCGATTATCAACTGAAACAAAAGACAATTGTTATTAGATTTTGCGTAAATTGCATTATTTTTTAAACAAAATAGTACAAAATGTCAGATCATTCAATAACAATGACAAACTTGTCAGTAATTACTAAAAATAAGGGAAATAAAAATACATAGTATAGAAAACTAGGAAATGAAGTATATGAGTCTTACAAACAAATATTTAAATTTTATTGCAATGATGCACATTGAAATTTATTTGGAAATGGGATAAAACATGTCATGTTCATTCATAAGTTACACGTGAGGGTAAATGAGGCCTACATCTTCCTGGTAAAAATTTAACGTGGCGCATTCACCATTTTTTCGAATATTTAGAAGTAAACAGCACGATGCACAGTGGGGCAGAATCCCAAAAAGCTGGCCAAAAGAAAAAAAATAAAGTTTCTAGTTCGGTAATTTTTACTGTTGGGTTGGCTGGAGTAATATCCCAATTCTCAGAATCTGTTACTATTAGGGTCAAATCCCCTATACCTGCTTCTTAAATCACTACAAAGGCGACCGCAACTCGAGCAACACCTGGCTCACGCGTAGGAACAGAAGTAATAGTTGTGTTTAAGTGGTTATAAAATTTCGTAGAGTTTACCGATTTATCTCTAAGAAAATTGAATCAACTCATAAATGTACGTAGATTATGATTATGCAGGTTAAAATACTCAATATTTTTTATAAAAAATAGTAATTGGCTACCAAACTTACGTGAATTTTACGTTATAAAATGAAAACATAATTTAGTTTTGAAGAAAAAAGTTTAATAATTCTGCAGAATTCTATCACTTAACTTATTGGACAAAAAAGACAAAAGTATTATCTGTAAACTAAAAAAAAAGTCAGCTGCCTATAAGTGCCTAACAACTTTTTGTATAGGTTTTTGTAAAATGTAGAGTAAAATGAATTTCGCCTTCTCTGGACGATGGAGGACATGGGAAGATTGCAGATAATGAAGAAATTCTTTCAACATCAGAAGATTCAACGGATGCTACAAATAAAGATTTTTCATCTGATGGTGATTCTTTTCTTTTATGAAAAAACTGGAATTCTATATTACAACTGTGGCACGGGATTCAAATAAATTATTCCCGATACTTATTTAACGAAATATATGAATAGTTTAATATGTCTATTGTCATTTTTACATCTTCTTCATGCTTGATAAATGTGACATTATTGTAATTGTTGTTTAAATCATGTTATTTAATATGAGGCCATCTTTTATGGAACGTATGGATAAATGCATCGAAGAGAATGGTGGACATATCGAACACTTACTTTGACATACTTAAACTTGTAATGTTAGTTAGCTTAGTTTTTTGTTTTCTTAATATGTATAAAATTCATTTCTAATTATGATTATCACACTTATAATTTAACTGCTTTTATTTAATTTTTAAAAAAATTAAAAATTTTTAAATTTTAGCTGTCAACTACTATTACGTTAATATTCATCCTGTTGATGTAAAAACATAATAGCAATTTTTTTACAATAGTTTAACACCCTTTATCTTCAAAACGAAGCTTCTGCGGACCAATGTTTGATATGAACTTTTTGTCTTAAAATCAGTCAAATAATCGTCTGTTGAATTTATTCTACATACTTAATTAACACCCTGTATACAAACTGAATATTATAAATTAAAGTAAAAGTGAAAGTATAAACGATCAAATTATTAAGACCCTGACAAGTAACTAGCACGATAACACGATCGTAAATAATTTATTTTATACATATACTACTTACAAGACAAGGAAGATGGGATAAGTTCCATAATTGAGGAGGCGCAGTTTTAAAAGAACATTTAAAAATTAAACCTTTTTCAATTTTTGTACTTTCGGGAAAATTTATTTTACATAATCGACGTTTTATCAATTAAATTCTCATGTTCATACTGAAAGTGGAAATTCCTAATCTTTTAGAGGTCAACAACTACATTCAAATGATGTGATTTATATTTTAGATGTACATATTTTCTTTAAAAAAAAATGAAAACTGTTGTTTAAAAACAATCATAATATATCTCTTAAAATTGACTTATTATTATTTAAAACGGTTATTTTTACCTAATAGTCTTGTCCCATATCTTTTGACGATATATTAATATGACAAGGGAATTGTAAAAATAATGATATAATAAGTAATGCATTCTGTATATTCTCAGGCAATAATTAATCTACTCCTATTTTTCACAAATGTATATTCTTTATACACATTATAACTAATTATGTTGTTATATAATACATATTATTTAAAGGTTATATCTTCACCTGTATGGTGTAACAGTCGCTTTTAAAGGAAAATGATCTTTGGTAATTTCTCGTGGATATCTTTTCGTTTTTTTTTTAAGTTATTATGAATAATATCGTGTAACCAATCGGATTATGTAATTTTTTTTAATTCGCATACTCGTACATTAGAAATATAACAGCGTTTATGTTAATGGAAATAGTATTCTGTAACCTTGACCATTCCCAATAAAAATCAATCGTAATGTTTGCACAAGGTAAAAAATTATTAAGTAATTCATAAAAATTGAAACAGAATTATAGAATTAGGGTATCTTTGCCTGTTTTTAAATAATAGTAGGTATGTTTTGAAATTAACCGTTTTATATAATTGAACTGGCGAAGTCATTAAATAAGATTTATTATAATTTCTATATTTATTAAATGTCATGTATGGAATACTTTCGAAACTTCGATGACGATATGAAAAAATCCGGAATGAAATAATTCTATTTCAATGTAAATCTTTTGTGAAAGGAGAAGTATAGATACATATATCATTTCAACATATAGTATCCTGCTTGGAAGTAGGTATATCTTGTTATGTTTGCAGACTAATTAAATATTTTAACATTATTAGCATTAAATTTAGCTGCTTTTGGGATATACCGAAACAATTTATAGTACCTACCGGAATTTGAGAAACATATTAGCTATCAAGAAAAAGTTTGAAATGTTTATTATTACTTCTCTTGTTTGAAAATATACTGTAATACGCGTATGCATAATTAATAGTACTTCCATACAGTAATAAAACCTTTGTCCAATAATTTCCCGAACATATTGTAGCATTTAAGGGGTTATTTCATCACATGCTGCCATTATTCGGTGGCGAAGATGTTCTAAAGAGGTAGGTTTCGTTTTATATATAACACTTTTCAAATGACCCCATAAGTAAAAGTCCAATAGTGTTAGATCAGGCGATCTTGGGGGCTATTCAATGAAACCCCTTCTACCAGTGTTCGGGAAAATGTTGATTCAAAAAGTGTGGCGGAGCGCCGTCCTATTGAAAAAATACATCATTCTCTGGGATCTGATCGTCGTTTTCAAGAATCTCCACATATTCTTGCAGTTACCCGGGCCATTTCATTATTTCGAAAATAGAGAGTGACAATCTCAATTCTCTCTGCAGTGGTGTAAACCATGATAATTTGAATCGTTTGCTTCAAAATATCGAATAATAATAAGTCAATGGATTTCACTAACTAGACAATTCTGATTGATGTAAAATCGAAACAAAAAATACATGTAAAATTGTAATAAAACCCATGATCTTATCAAGACTTCGATGATAAACCTCAGTTTTCACAGTTTCATTATCCGGTGAGTTTTTTATTACTATTTCAAGTCTTTTTTTCGATTTATTTCACCAACATTTTCAACAGTTTTTTTACATTAATTTTCAGGCAGAACAAAAAAATTTCAGCATATTTGTAAAGAGAATTGAAATACCTTTAAAATGATGTGCCACTTAACCCCCCATGCCATTTAAGATTTTTGAAGGGGTTGCCACCCCGTTTAGTAGAATGACCCTACATCTATGAATTTATGATCAAATGATCCCCTTGAAGGCAAAATCGACCTGTTTCGGGGTTTTCCGAAAAAACCTGTTGCAATGAAAATATTTCAGGTATACTGTTTTAATTGGGCCACCCTGTATATTATTATGTGTTTATAGGGTTTATGTTCCATTTGTATATAAGAATAGATATGTTGTATAAAGACCCGTATCCGAATCTGTATATAACAGTTGTATTAACATAATTATTCGTTTTCATAATGATTGTTTCCGTTTTTAACGTGTAAAACACGTCTTATAGTTAACTGATCGTCACCTCTCGATGCATAATCGGTTATTATCGTAAAATTTTCGACAGACAGTGCATTGACTATTACACTTCTAGTTTGATGAAAATAAACAGTATAGGCATATGTTTGTGGGATACATGATCATATCGCGTTTTGTGAAGTGAAAAATTATGTAAGTGTCTGTTTTATGGTTTGTAATTGTTTTGTTTTTTCAAATAATGTAAGTCGTCTAAATCTTAAAAATTATTTTCTTGTATGCCCTATTAGAAACCGCTTTACATAAGATGGAGGAACAGAAGGCTAGCGGTGACACAGAATAGCATGGGTAAAATCAATCAATTAGAGGAAATAGAATTAAAAGAAAAGAAGCTCAACCTTTCAGGGGATGCTTCTTCTTAGGGTGGAAGAGTTATAGTGCACATAGTTATTGCAAAAATCGTCTATTAATGTCTAAAAAGTCACTTATTTGTAGTAAAAAAATATATTTACCTATATTATTATAAAACTAATCCTAAGATGACAACCTAACAACAGCGATAAAAACTTTTGCTAGGGTAAATATTATATTGTAACTAACGTAATTATAAGATAATCTTGCAACAATAAAAAAAAGTTAACAAAAAACTTTTTTACCCCAAATAGGTTCCTTTACCAATTTTTTTATTATGACAGCATCGTAACCTTTCTAAAGCCTATTTAAGTAAAGAAGATATTTTGTTATGATTAATTTATATTTATAGTTAAATGATGTATTCCTCAATGAAGAGAATGGAAGATAATCACCTTCGTACTTGTCAGTTTCGTATTATTATTTTTTTTATATAAAGGTACGCGCCATACCCCTTTTCTACTGAATAAATATGGAAAATATATTTAATACTCAAAAA